CACTTTAAACATGTTTTAAGTTTCTTGTTCTGAAAAGACCACTACGTATATTAAGGAAAAAGGCAAAATATAAGCCCCGCCCACCCGCCCTATCTCAATTGTGATGATTTTTTTATTCGTCGTGAGTCAAGGAGGCGGAGCTTAACTGCAAAATCCTTAATTCTCTACTAAAAATTAAAAACATGCTTTTGAGTATCGTGTTGTTCAAAGAATACTATGAAAATAATGAGAAAAAATTAAAGCCAAAGATTAAATAGAAAAATAACGAAAGTAAAAAAGTCGCGAAAAATGCTACAAAAAAGACGACAAAGAAAAACACAAAAAAAATTTAAAAAAAACGTCAAAAAACAGGGGACAAGAAAGGAAAAAGAAGGTCAGAAAAAAGACGAAATTGGCAAAAAAAAGGTGATTAATTGACAAAGAAGTAACAAAAAATTCCACAACAAAAAACACAAGCAAACCGACAAAACGACAAAAAGGGGAAAGAAAAAAGGGGAAATAAAGAAAATTCAGAAAATTTAAAAAACGAAGAAAAGCTATTCAAAAGAACAACAAACAACCAAAAACGAGACGAAAAAAAAAAGAAAAAAATGCACAGAAAGAAGAAAAAACGACAAAAACATGGGACAAAAAACAAAAGAAAACAAAGAAGATAAAAAAAGGCGACAACAATGATCTATTAAAAACAGGTCAAAAATGGGGAAAAAGACGAAAAAAAAGGCGGAAAAAAGTGCAAAATAACTAAAATTACAAAAATCATAATAACTGACAAAGAAAGCACCAAAAGGGAGGAAAATGAGAAAAAAAATGCGTTGCAAAAAAAGTTGAAAACAAAAACTTAAAAAAGGCTACAAAACACATGCAACAAAAATTGATCAAAAAAACTGCGAATGAAAAGCGGCCAAAAATGCTACCAAAAAAAAAGGAAAATAAAAACAGATCAGAAAATGTAAAAAACCTATAAAGACGCCATTAAAAAGGGACAAAAATGGCCAAAAATGAGACAACAAAAGAAAGAATAACAAAAGCGACAAAAAATATGAAAAGAATAGACTTTAAAAAGGGGAAAGAAAAGGGACCAAGAAAACACGACAAAAAATGTACCATTTTAAATGCGTTTTAAGTTTCTAAGAATAAAAAAATCATCACAATTGAGATGGGGTGGGTGGGCGGGGCTTCCATTTTGCCTTTTTGTTTCAATATGTGTAGACTTCTTTTCGTAACAAGAAACTTAAAACATGTTTAAAATGGAACATTTGTATACGAAAATATCGATTTTTCAATTAGGTTCCACCCCATAATTGCAAAATCCATATTTTCTTGCAAAAATGTATCATAGCAATCGAGAAATGGGAAAATCAAAAAACCAATTAACTGAGAATTTGAGAAATCGAAAAATCGAAAATGCAGGAACGCCAAAATTGCAAAATTGAAAAACTGAAGAATAGAAAATTTGAAAATTTAAAGAATTGAGAATTTGCAAAATTCGAAGAACTGAAAAATTTAAAAAATCGAGAAATTTAAACATTGAAATCCTGAGCAATCGAGAAATTGGAAAATCGAAAACCAATTAACTGAGAATTTGAGAAATCGAAAAATCGAAAATGCAGAAAAAATCAAAAATTGCAAAATTGAAAAACCGAAAAATTGAGAAACTGAAAAACTGAAGAATAGAAAATTTGAAAATTTAAAGAATTGAAAATTTGCAAAATTCGAAGAACTGAAAATTTGAAAAAAATCGAGAAATTTAAACATTGAAATCCTGAGCAATCGAGAAATTGGAAAATCGAAAACCAATTAACTGAGAATTTGAGAAATCGAAAAATCTAAAATGCAGGAACGCCAAAAATTGCAAAATTGAAAAATCGAGAAATTAAAAAACTGAAAAACTGAAGAACAGAAAATTTGAAAATTTAAAGAATTGAAAATTTGCAAAATTCGAAGAACTGAAAATTTAAAAAAATCGAAAACCAATTAACTGAGAATTGAGAAATCGAGAAAATCGAAAATGGAGAAACTCCAAAAATTGGAAAATTGAAAAATCGAAAAATTGAAAATTCAAAAAAATTAATAATCGAGAAATCGAAAAATTTGGAAAAAGTAATACCAAAAATTTTAAATATCGAAAAATTGAAAACCGAAAAATCGAAAACCGAAACATCAAAAAATTGGAAAATTGAAGAACTGAGAAAATTTGAAAAATCGAAACATCGAAATGGTGAAATCGAAAATTTAAAACATTGAAAAATCGAAACCGAGAAATCGAAATATCAAAATTTTTAAAAATCGAAAAATTGAGTAACATAAAATCTAAAAAGGAGAAGTCGAAGAATTGAAAAATCAAGAAATTGAAATGAGATGGAGTGATGGAGAAATGGGAAAATCAAAAAATCAAAAAATGGAGAAATCAGAATTTTTAGACGCCAAAAATTGAAAAATGGAGAAATAGAAGAATCGAAAAATTAAAAACTGATAAAACTCAATTATCGGCAAATTAAAACATGTAAAAATAAAAAAATCCAAAGTTTGAAAAATCCCAAAACTGAGTTGTCGAAAAAAAATTGAGAAATATAGAAACCAAAAAAACTTATAAATCGAAAAATTAGAAATTTTTAAAATCGAAAAATTGAAAAACAGAAACTCTAAAAACGACAAGTGGAACAATCGATAACTTGAAAAATCGAAAAACTGAAGGATTAAAAAATTGAAAAGTCGAAAAATCAAAAAATTGAGAATAGAATAACTGAGGAATGGAACCATCGAAAAATTGAGAAAACGAAAATATGAAAAATCGAAATATTGAAAAATCCCAAAACTGAAGTATCGAAAAATTAAAAAATGGTAAAACTCAAATATCGGAAAACTAAGAAATGAAAAATAAAAAATAAAAAATTTGAAAAATTGAAAAATCGAAAAATCAAAAAATAGATTAATTAGGAATTTGAAAAGTCACAATATCGAAATTTTGGAAACGCCAAAAATTGAAAACTTGAAGAATGGAAACAACGAAAAATTGAAAAATTGAAACATCGAAAGATTGAAAAATTGAAAAATCGAAAATATAAAATCTGAAAATTTCAAAATGGAAAAATCAAAAATTTTAAAAATTAAAAAACTAACCAGAGATGTCGAAAAATCGAAAAATTGGAAAATCGGAAAATTGAACAATTAATAAATTCAAAAATTGAGAAATTAAGAAATCGAAACATTGAAAGAAAAAAGAAATCGAGAAGGGGGAAAACCAAAAAATCGAAAAATTGAAAAATCGTAAAACTGATTACGGAAATGGAGAAATCAAAAAATAAATTTTAACATTCGAAAAATCCAAACATCGAAATTTCGATAAATCGTGAAAGTGAAAATTCGAAACATTGAAAAGTCGAAAGATATAAAAGCCAAAAAATTGAAAAACAGAAAAAAATAAATAAATAAGTGCTTTATTGTACTCAACGGGTGAACCCCAGAACTGAATACAAAAATACAAATACAAAATACAAAATCTAAAAACAAGATGAGGAAAAATCGAAAAATCAAAAAACCAAAGAACAGAAAAATCAAGAAATCGGGAAATCGAAACATTGAAAAGTCGATGAATCGAAAAATTTTAAAGTCGAAAAATCAAATATCGATTAATTGAGAATTTGAAAAGTCGAAAAAAAGAAAATTTAGAAATGCCAAAAAGTGGAAAATGGAAAATGGAGAAATTGGAGAATGGAAATATCGAAAAATTGAAAAATCGAAACTCTAAAAACGACAAGTGGAACAATCGATAACTTGAAAAATCGAAAAACTGAAGGATTAAAAAATTGAAAAGTCGAAAAATCAAAAAATTGAAAATAGAATAATTGAGGAATGGAACCATCGAAAAATTGAGAAAACGAAAATATGAAAAATCGGAATATTGAAAAATCCCAAAACTGAAGTATCGAAAAATTAAAAAATGGTAAAACTCAAATATCGGAAAACTAAGAAATGAAAAATAAAAAATAAAAAATTTGAAAAATTGAAAAATCGAAAAATCAAAAAATAGATTAATTAGGAATTTGAAAAGTCACAATATCGAAATTTTGGAAACGCCAAAAATTGAAAACTTGAAGAATGGAAACAACGAAAAATTGAAAAATTGAAACATCGAAAGATTGAAAAATCGAAAATATAAAATCTGAAAATTTCAAAATGGAAAAATCAAAAATTTTAAAAATTAAAAAACTAACCAGAGATGTCGAAAAATCGAAAAATTGGAAAATCGGAAAATTGAACAATTAATAAATTCAAAAATTGAGAAATTAAGAAATCGAAACATTGAAAGAAAAAAGAAATCGAGAAGGGGGGAAACCAAAAAATCGAAAAATTGAAAAATCATAAAACTGATTACGGAAATGGAGAAATCAAAAAATAAATTTTAACATTCGAAAAATCCAAACATCGAAATTTCGATAAATCGTGAAAGTGAAAATCGAAACATTGAAAAGTCGAAAGATATAAAAGCCAAAAAATTGAAAAACAGAAAAAATAAATAAATAAGTGCTTTATTGTACTCAACGGGTGAACCCCAGAACTGAATACAAAAATACAAATACAAAATACAAAATCTAAAAACACGATGAGGAAAAATCGAAAAATCAAAAAACCAAAGAACAGAAAAATCAAGAAATCGGGAAATCGAAACATTGAAAAGTCGATGAATCGAAAAATTTTAAAGTCGAAAAAAAGAAAATTTAGAAACGCCAAAAAGTGGAAAATGGAGAAATTGGAGAATGGAAATATCGAAAAATTGAAAAATCGAAACATCGAAAGATCGAAAAATCGGAAAATTCATCAGAATTGAGATGGGGTGGGTGGGCGGGGTTTACATTTTGCCTGTTTTTTCTTTTCACAACGTGTAAATCCTTGCAGTTATAATACCTAATCTGTTTTTGCGACGAACAGCAATAAATCTTGTTGATTTAAACGTCTAGAAGTTTATAAATCGACTTACCACCCTCTATATGAATTTTCAGCAAGCGGAGAAGAAAAACTCGAAACTGTTGACCTTCACCGAAAACATAAGTGTCCTAGAAGACGCTGCCAAGTAAGTTTGACTCTTTCAGTAGACTGTTCTAACCCAAACTTCCAGAACCACCGTCGAACAGCTCCAAAACGAAATCAACGTCCTCGACGTCCGGATAAAGAAAATCAAGAAACAAATCGATCTACCGAGCACGGAAGCCGAAATCAAACACCAAATGACCGAGTTCTTACAAGTTGGTAGCCATGATTCTTTAATTAGTGTGACTACCATGTTGTTTGCAGATGGCCGAAATGGAAGTGTCTAAGTTGCAACGAAACATGGAAGAACTGGAAACGGTTCGGACCCAACTCAGTGACTTTTTCTGCGAAGACACCACGTCGTTCAAACTCGAAGAATGTTTCCGGATTTTCCACGGCTTCTACTGCAAATTCAAGCAAGCGGTGACTGAAAACGAGCGTCGAAGGATCCAGGAGGAGCAAGCTAATGCGAGACGGCGCCAACGCGAAGAGCTTTTGGCCACTAAACGGAAGCAGAGTAAGACGTTACAGAAAGAGCGACTTAGTTTAACCGAGTCAGTTGTAGTGGAAAGTTTAGGGGGCACGACCGACTCCGAAGTACCCTTCATCGATTTGCAAATCTACGACAACCGATACAATTTTCCAATGAAAAAGGTAACTAAGTTGGGGTTTTTGGTTCTGTAGTTGTCTAATGCTTGGTGATGGATTTGAAGGGATGGAAAACTACGAATGGGACGTCGGAGGATGAGCTTTCGTCGGTGACGGGCTCCCCGTCATTGTCACGACGCCGCCTGGGTTCGTTCAACGGGAACGGAGACTCTGCCACCGGTCGGGAGGAAAGATCGCCCGATATCACCCCAAACGGGAGTCTGCGGAGGCGGCGAAGCCGCGTTTTGTCCGAAGAAGATGAAGGAAACTTGATGGACTTTCTTCGGGCTTCGGGTCAAGATAATAATCGGGAACGGAGGTCTTGGGGTAGTTTGGATAGGTCGTGGTCGCGCAAAGCCCGCGGGGGTAGTCAAAGAAAACGACCCGCTTTATTAGGGGCTGATTTTACCTCGGACCGCGAGCGACCATCATCACCTTCCCCCTTAAGCGAGTCCAAACCCATCCTATCCGAAGAAGAAACCAAACCCAAGGAGCTGCGCCAGAAAATCGAGTCCTGGCTACAAGCCAGTGAAAGCGACCAGAACGACGAAAACAGGAGACAAACTAGACGCATTACCAACCGAAGATCGCTGGAGATGGACTCCGAGAGCGAACGAAGCAGCACTTTGGACACCCTTCCGGAAGGAAAACAGGTGTACAGTGGAAGCCAATCCAGCTACCGGAAGGTGTACCCGGCCTGGGAGCCGTCCAAGACTATCGACAGCACGGATGTGGTGAGTGCTATGGAAGCCGTCGAAGAGGCGCAGCCACAAATCAAAGACAAATCGGCATGGAGGAAATCCACTTTGAACGTACCGAATAGTACTGAAGAAACTAAAGACGACTCAAGACAACGACATCTAATCCAACCCGAAGAAAACGACAGGAAGAACTTGATTAGCTCTCTCGGGGAGCGCTCCCCAACCGACAAACTCACTCTATACATAATCAAACCCACCGAAACCCCGAAGACTAGTCTCGGTTACGTCCCCCGAAGACTCCGAGATTCACCTGAAGACCCAACTATTAGTAACAAAGTCGAGATTGATCAAGACAATATTGAGACCCCGCCGGCGACCCGCAAGATCTTCATTCCCACTCCCGTCGACAAACGCGAACCCACTCAACCCAGTCCTTGTCGACGCTTGATGGGTCGTCCCCGTGACTCCCTACCAAGTCCCGACGAGCCCGAACCCAATCTAGTCCTGGGTGATGGTCAGTTCGACCGGTTTTCGGCGGCCCGGCGGACCCGCCGGTACAAACGCAGCACTGACAACAACGACTTGTCGTCGCCCCCAGAACCCGCCCCCGAAGCCGTCAAGTCGCCCGAAAAAGACGAAGACAAAGAAACTCGTCTGAAAGCGTGGCAAGACAAGCTTAAAGACACGGAGGTGAGACATCGGAGGCACCGCCACCAAACCGGAGTCAACCAAGACGACGTCAAAATGGCTTTACAGCTCAAAAACGATATCAACGAATCCACGAAAATCGATATCCCGAGTCGGAAGAACAAGGAACATGATAATGATGAAGGGTTCGAGGAGAGTCAGAGTTTGATGTCGGAGTCGCCGAGTCAGGGGGCGTCTTCCGGAGGCAACTACGAGCCGGACGACCCCGCCCATATTGTAATCGCCGACTTTAGTAAGTCTAAGCCAATGAGAGCGTCGTCTCTCGAGAGCAAAAGCACGGTGGACTCCACGACGAGCAGCGACGCGCCTGCGAGTAAAATCGTGCGGAAAGCCCCGCCCAAATATGGGCGTGTTCTAGAGAGGGGCACCCCCACGAGGCGGACCGTGCAGGAACCGGCCAAGAAAAGCGTGATTCCGCGCAGGTCGGAGAGTCTCAGAAAGACTGACTCACAGTCTAACGTGCAGAGGTCCGGTTCGAGGAACAGTATAGTGAGTTCGAGGAGCTCTCTGAATAGTTCTGCGTCGACGAGCACCGTGAAGCGGGTTCCCGTGAAGAGTAATAGTGCGACTAAAGCACCTATTAGCAATAAGACTGTGAAACGCAGTCCTTCGACGGGGGGTAGTACCGGAACGAAGCCGCCCAGGCCTCAAGCCATGTCTTTTATGAAACCTACGACCTCCAGCTCGACCAAAATACATTCCACGAATCCGGTGTCGAAGCCTGGTACTTATTTCAGGTCAAAGTAGGCGTTACTCAAGGACTTTCGTTCACTAGTCAAAAGTGCATTATTTAACATAGGTGAATACTGGTTCAGTCGGACTTGACCGCAACTTAATTAATAAAAAACAAATATGCAAAAATCACTTTTCTCATCATTATCTACAAAAGTTTACAGTCTCATTTTTCACACAGTATTATGACAAATCACAAAAATAAAAGACTAACATACTCACTTAATTAGGTACCAATTCGCAGCATCTGAACTTAGCGACAGTTTATATTTTTTATAATTATACTTAATGTCGAACTAATAACTAATAATGTCATATTGATTTGTTACCAAATATTTACTTTTAGGTAATACACCTTTTATTAAAATTGTTGCATCATTTGTCGATATAAAATTTTTCCCCAAACCACTCACGATGGTCATTTAAGTAACTAAAACACAAACACTACACACTGAATCTTGGAATCTTGACACTTACTCTATGAATAAATCCAAGTGCTGCAATAACGTTTTCCACTTATTTTCATCTATCCCTGAGGCGTTTAAAAGTTCGGGTAGTTTTACGAAAAGTCGGGTTAAATGAACGGCACCATACACTAAACAAGGGGGCGGCGGCTGCTGACTGTAGACGTGCTCGGGCACAAGACGGAAAGAGAGCGCCCTTGACATTGAACCACAACTGTCAGAGGTACCGCTGTCCGTACTAAAAGCAAAACGACAGTTACATAATTGTCCCGAGGAAAGCATAAGAAGGTTCCTCTCAAAGCGTTGCAATGACAACAATAGTCCGTTTTCCCGCGAACAGAATGAAAATAACGTTACATTAGTTTTGAGGTTATGTTGCCAACAGTGTTAGCTAGGAATAAAATTAACTACAATAGAAAAAAAATGTCATAATATTGTTCGTCGTCTGAGAACCTGTTTGATCTACAGACCAGAGCGCACTCAGGCCAATGTCGACATCCTACCGGTTTCGACCATAATTTCTTGCTGGTTCAACTTTCGAAATTTCAGTTTTTCGAAATTTTAGTTTGGGGACTTTTCAGTTTACTCCTATTTATTGTTCAATTTTTGGATTTTACAATTTCTCAGTTTTTCAATTTCTCGGTTTTCAGTTTTTCTCTTCAATTTTACGATTTTTAAATATTTCGATTTTTCAATTTTTGACTTTCATAAACTCTTTAGTTTTGGGATTTTTCAATATTTCTGTTCTTCGACTTTTCCATTTTTGACTTCTGGATTTTTCGATTTGTCGACTTTTTACTTTTTCGATTTTTCAATTTTAGATTTCTCAATTTTTTGGTATTTTAATTTTTCAATATTTAAAATTTTAGATTTTTCGATTTCTCGATTTTTCATTTCGGCTCTTCCATATTTCAATTTTTTAAATGTTTCGATTTTTCGACTTCTTCCAGGTTTTAGATTTTTTGTTTTCCAATTGTCGTTTTTTTAATTTTTTGAGTTTTCAGTTTTTGATATTTTAATTTTTCAATATATAAAATTTTAGATTTTTCGATTTCTCGATTTTTCATTTCAGTTCTTCGATATTTCAGTTTTTCAAATTTTCGATTTTTCAATTTTTCAAATTTGACATTTAACTGTCAATTTTTCGATTTTTCAATTAATCAATGTTTTGATTTTCCCATTTATTGACTTTCCAGGGTTTCGATATCCTGTTCTTCAATTCTTTTATTTTTCGATTTTTCAGGTTTTTGATTTTTCAGGCTTTTGATTTTTCATTTTTTAGTTTTTTTAAGGTTTCAATTTTTCGACTTCACCTTTTGAATATTTCAGTTTTCAGATTTTTTCAGTTTTTCGATATTTCAGTCTTGGGAATTTTCAAAATTTCGATTCTTCGACTTTTTGATTTTTGACTTCTGAAGTTTTCGATGTGTCGATTTTTTTACTTTTTCGATTTTTCAATTTTTCGATTGCTTAATCTTTCGATTTTTCGACTTCCCAGTTTTAGATTTTCTGTTTTCAATTATCATTTTAAGAGAACTGAAAAATCGAAAAATAGAGAAACCGAAAAATGCAATGTCTTCATAATTGAAAAATTAAAATTTGGAAAAATTGAAAATTGAAAAATCGACAAATCAAAACAAACAATCGAAAAATTGAAAAATCTACAATTTTAAAATCCAAAAACTAAAAAAACGAAAAAATAAAAATCTGAGAAATTCGAAAAGTCGAAAAATTGAAAAACTGAAGAATCGAAATATTGAAAATTGCCGAAACTAAAACACCGAAAAATTGAGAAATCGAAAAGTCTAAACATGGAAGTCGAATAATAATAATAGCAAATGGAAAAACGAGAACACGGAAATTCGAAAACTTGAATTGAAAAACTGAAAAATCGAAACACTGAAAAGTCAAAAAATAGAGAAATGGGAAAATCAAAAAATCGATTCGATTTTTGACTTCTGGATTTTTCATTTCAGTTCTTCGATATTTCAATTTTTCAAGTTTTCGAATTCTCCAAATACTTCGATTTCTTAATCTTTTAATTTTTCGATTTCCCGGTTTTAGATTTTCTGTTTTCAATTGTCGTTTTAAATTTTTCGATTTTTTAATGTTTTGATTTCCCGATATAGTTTCCCATTTTTAGTTTTTCTTTCATTTTTCAGTTTTTCGATATTTCAGTTTTGGGATTTTTCAATATTTCGATTCTTGGACTTTTCGATTTTTGACTCCTGGATTTTTCGATGTGTCGATTTTTAAATTTTATCGACAAATTGAGAAACCGAAAAGTCGAAAACTGGAAGTCGAATAATAGAAAATTTGAAAAATTGAAAAATGGAAAAACGATAACACGAAAATTCAAAACATTTAATTGAAAAACTGAAAAATCGAACCACTGAAAAGTCAAAAAATTGAGAAATGGGATAATAAAAAAATCGATTTATTGAGAAATTAGGAAATCATAAAAATGAACATTTAGAAACGTTATAAACTGAAAATTTGAAAATCCAGAAATGCAAAAGTTGTCAAAATTAAAATATGTATTGAAAAATTGAGAAATCGAAAAATCCAAAAATTTGAAAAATTTTAAAACTAGAAAAATTGTAAAAAGGAAAAATTGAAACATCAAAAAACTGAAAAATTTAAAAATCCGCAACATTGAAAACTATATCGGAGAACTGAAAAATCGACAAATCGATAAATCGGAAATATCTAAAATTAAAAAACTGAAAAATCAAAGTAGCCAAATATTGAACAATAGAAAAATTGAAAAATCGAGGAATCGATGCTTCAAAAAACCGAAAAATGGAAATTTCAAAAATTTAAAATTTGTAAAATTGAAAAAGGGAAAACCGAGAAATCGAAAATCCGAAATTGAAACAATCGAAAACTTAAAAAATTGGTCTAAAGAGTTTAGACAGTACTTCCCTCGCTGTCGGAAACTTGACGACTGCATGCCTATTGTGTTTTTTCTCATTACATTTTTGTAGTGGGAATTTAAAAAAAAATTGCGATGACGTCATCAACATTTTTGCAAGGACACGTATATCAGTTTGGGATAGATGTAGTGTAATACTAAGAATAAAATTATTATATTCTCAAATTTTCGGGAAAATGAATTGGGTCGTTTTGAATATTGATTTGTAATAATCAATAAAATAACGAAACAATTTACTCACGTATACGTATCCCAGGCAGCTGAAAATCGTGTATGTATAAACATTCTTAATTTAAGATGACAGGCGTAACAGCATACTTGAGAGTCAAACAGAGAAACTGTAAACAAAACGACCATCGGTTTTATTGCTTCGACTTCCGCTTATTATATAAAACATTGGGTTTTATTTTAATTCTTGACGGTGAAATTCACAATTGGTTGATTATAAACATGTCTATTTCACATTCGCGGAACCAAGTGAACGCATAAAACAAATGCAGATCTGTAATGTTAAAGTCGATGTAAATAAGCATGCTACCCTTATGTTTCAACCGAGTTTTTCCTTTAACAAATTTTTTGTCTACCAAATTGGGTTGGTTGGGGTGTAATACTAATAATAAGTGTTGCCTTTAATTTAATCAATAAAATAAATTGACTTCATTAATTTTTTTGAACCACCTCTTAAGAAAATCTAAAAAATATGAATGGAATGATAAATCACAAGTACAAACTCATCATATTTTTTGCATTTTAGATAGGATTTATTCAGCAAAATTTAAGGGTGACGTCATCAATTTTTTAGGAGGGATGAACAAATACATTTTGAACAAAAGTTTACCATGCTTATAATAGCTTTAGAATATTCCCAAGATTTCAAAGCATTCGGTTTTGTAATTCCTGATTAAACCGATAAAATAAATTCACGCCTTCATTAATTTTTTTGAGTCACCCTGCATATGCAAATCCAAAAATATGAATGGAATGATAAATCACAAGTACAGACTCATCATATTTTGTACATTTTAGATACGATTTATTCGGCAAATTTTCGAGCTGACGTCATCAAGTTTTTGGAGGGGATAAGCAAATATATTTTGACTAAACATTTATTATGCTCTTTATAACCTTAAAACATCTGCAAGATGTCAGAGCATTCCGTTTTGTAGTTCCTGATTAAATTAATAAAATATATTTGCGCATTCATTAATTTTTTTGAGTCACTCTGTATATGCAAATCCAAAAAATATGAATGGAGTGATAAATGACAAGTACAGGCTCATCATATTTTGTACATTTTAGATATGATTTATTCGGCAAACTTTCGAGCTGACGTCATCAAGTTTTTGGAGGGGATAAGCAAATATATTTTGACTAAACTTTTATTATGCTCTTTATGACCTTAAAACATCTGCAAGATTTCAGAGCATTCGGTTTTGTAGTTCCTGATTAAATCAATAAAATATATTTACGCATTCATTAATTTTTTTGAGTCACCCTGTATATGCAAATCCAAAAAATATGAATGGAGTGATAGATGACAAGTACAGACTCATCATATTTTGTACATTTTAGATATGATTTATTCCACAAACTTTTGAGCTGACGTCATCAAGTTTTTGGAGGGGATAAGCAAATATTTTTTGACTAAAGATTTATGATGCTCTTTATAGCCTTAAAACATCTGCAACATTTCAAAGCATTCTGGTTAGCAGATTAAAAATTAAATTTCAAAATGTTGTTTTATAATTTTGATTTTTTTTCCAAAAATCTGGACGTTTCAGGTGAAAAGTCGATTCAGAGTTGTAAACTACATGTGTAGGACTATGTTATTTTATACAATTGAAAACCCATTTACTATGTACAATTCTGAAGTGACGTCATCGCTTTAGTGGTGGGGATGATTAGACAAATTTTGGTTAGCGTTTTACCATCTACATGATATTCTTAATATAAGTACAAAATTTCACAACAATCGGTCGAGTACTTTCGGAGATTATCTGTCTAATAAAAATCCGGGACAACAGACGGACAGACGGACGGACAGACGGACAGACGGACAGACGGACAGACGGACGGACAGACGGACAGACGGAGAGACAGACGGAAATGGGAGACCTATTTCTTCGTCTTCTAGGGATCATGAAAGATCGAGAAAACGTAAAAGTAGAGAGTCGGCCGACGGACTCGATTACAATACTTCCTTTGCTTACGCTCGGGAAGTAAAAATCAAAAAATGAAAGAAAAATCGAGAATTTGAAAAATTGAAACATCAAAAAAATGGAAAATCGAATAACCGAATGGCTGAAAACTAGAAAAATCGAAAATTTGAGAAATCGAAATAGGTCAAAACGGAAAAAATAGAAAAATTGCAGAATCGAAAAATCGAGAAACTGATCAATTAAAACATTGAAATACCGAAAAATTTTTTTTAAAAATCGAAAACTGAAAAATTTAGAACCAAGAAGTTGAAATATCGAAAGATCAAGAAATTGAAACAAAAACTAAAATTTAATGTTCGAAATAATTGAAAAACAGAAAAATCAAAGAACTGAAAAATCGAAAAATAGAGAAACCGAAAAATGTAATGTCTTCATAACTGAAAAATTAAAATTTGGAAAAATTGAAAATTGAAAAATCGGCAAATCAAAACAAAAAATCGAAAAATTGAAAAATCTAAAATTTTAAAATCCAAAAACTAAAAAAACGAAAAAATTAAAACCGAGAAATCGAAAAATCGAAAAGTCGAAAAATTGAAAAACTGAAGAATCGAAATATTCAAAAATGCCGAAACTAAAACACCGAAAAATTGAGAAATCGAAAAGTCTAAAAATGGAAGTCGAATAATAATAATAGAAAATTTGAAAAATCGAAAATGGAAAAACGAGAACCCGGAAATTCGAAAACTTGAATTGAAAAACTGATAAATCGAAACACTGAAAAGTCAAAAAATTGAGGAATGGGAAAATCAAAAAATCGATTCGATTTTTGACTCCTGGATTTTTCGATGTGTCAATTTTTTAATTTTTAAAATTTTTGATTTTTCGATTTCTCGATTTTTCATTTCAGTTCTTCGATATTTCAATTTTTCAATTTTTCGAATTTTCCAAATATTTCGATTTCTTAATCTTTTAATTTTTGATTATTTAATTTTTCAAATTTTGACTTCCATACTCTCAATTTTTCGATTTTTCAATTAATCGATGTATTGATTTTCCCATTTCTTGACCTACGAGTGTTTCGATTTTCCTGTTCTTCGATTCTTTAATTTTTTGATTTTTCAGGTTTTTGATTTTTCAATTTTTCGATTTTTTAAAGTTTCTATTTTTCGACTTCACTTTTTTACTTTTTCGATTTTTCAATTTTTCGATTTTTAAATTTTGTTGACAAATTGAGAAATTGTAACGTCGAAAACTGGAAGTCGAATAATAGGAAATTTGAAAAATGGAAAAAAGATAACACGAAAATTCAAAACATTTAATTGAAAAACTGAAAAATCGAATCACTGAAAAGTCAAAAAATTGAGAAATGGGATAATAAAAAAATAGATGAATTGAGAAATTAGGAAATCGTAAAAATGAACATTTAGAAACGTTATAAACTGAGAAATTGAAAAATCCAGAAATGCAAAAGTGGTCAAAATTAAAATATGTATTGAAAAATTGAGAAATCGAAAAATCCAAAAATTTGAAAAACCGGATCGTCAAAAAATCAAAACATTAAAAAAACGAAAAAATAAAAAACTGAGAAATCGAAAAGTCGAAAAACTGAAGAAACGAAATATTGAAAAATGCCGAAACTAAAACACCGAAAAATTGAGAAATCGAAAAGTCTAAAAATGGAACTCGAATAATAATAATAGAACATGGAAAAACGAAAACCCGGAAATTCGAAAACTTGAATTGAAAATCTGAAAAATCGAAACACTGAAAAGTCAAAATATTGAGAAATGGGAAAATCAAAAAATCGATTCGATTTTTGACTCCGGGATTTTTCATTTCAGTGCTTCGATATTTCAATTTTTCAAGTTTTCGAATTTTCCAAATATTTCGATTTCTTAATCTTTTGTTTTTTCGACTTTCCGGGTTTAGATTTTCTGTTTTTCAATTGTCGTTTTGTCAAATTTTCGATTATTTTAATTTTTAATTTTTTTTTCTCACTGTTAATATCATACGGTGTATCGAAAACACCCACAAAAATTGTCACTAAAAACATTTAAAAATTCACACAAAAGAGAACACAGTATTTCCAAAACATTTTCCCGAAAAAAATCCATTGGGTTATTACGATTTTAACAATATTCTTAGTTTAAGACGTTTTGCTAGTGTAAAACACAAATAAAGAATTAATCCTTAGTTACACAAAATATGTACCAAAAATATTCACTTAGTCGTTATAAAAACCGACCAAACAACTATTTCCCACAGAATTATAGTCCAAACCAACCAAATCGCGTCTGAACGCTTAGAGTCGACATTGGCCTGAGCCCGCTCTGGTCTGTAGATCAAACAAGTTCTCAGGCGACGAGTTCTAGTGAAACAAGTTTTTCTTTATTGGCATCAACTATTTAAATTTGGCGCTATATTAATCTATGGCCGAACTGTCAGCGTATTTTAGTGACGTCACGTCAATGACATTTGTCCCGAAATGGCGCGAAAATAAAAATATCAAACCTTGAACTGGTTTTTGTTTTGGAAGCGCTGTCCTGATGAGAGTTCCCATTGGCCACAGTGTCATTTTTGCTCGACCGCAAACTCCTCTTCCTCTGCAGTGCTTGCTGATTATCATTTTGATAATCTTCGTCCGTGAAACTACTAGGAGACATGATATAATCTATATAACTATTATTGCTTTTATTGCTGCAAATTCCCCATTATCAAGTTGCCAACTTACTAGTGTCCAGTGTTACCAACCTTGATTCATCCTGAAATAGGTGCTGCGCTGAGGTATACATGGCTTGTTTAGTTTCAACTTGACCTTGCTCCGTTTTATATAGCAACAAATCACCAACAGTGTAATCAAAATAGATCCTAAGGCCGTCCAGTACTTCACTACAAACTGATAAACTACAACGCGTCACGTGGTACGACGAATTATACTACGCCTTACTTTCTTTGTACATCTTCAGGTCTGCGCTTGCTTTGTGAATGAAAAAGATACCTGTGTCTAGAGTGCGACTTTTCGTTAAGGTCGCAAATCTGATTGGTGGCGTAGTGCCTCCAGTACCCCTCTAAAATAGTCAAAACGTTGGGTTCCGCCGGCAACCTAAGCAACTTATTTTTTGTGTTAATTAAATAATAGTCCTCCTCGAGGAAAGTCCGCAGTTCCGCGGTTAATTCAATCGGCACGCTTTCGTCCTCAATGGACGAATCGTCCTCCGAGCTGCTAGTTTCGTCTTGTCCGTCATCGGTATCCATTCTGGCGGGGCTACTGGAGCTGCCGTCATCAGAAGAGGGGGCAGTGCTGGTTTTTCGATTGTGCTTTTTTCGGTCTCTTCTGTATAAATAAGCGCCTCTGGAATGTTTAAATGGAATGACGGCTTAAGGATGATTCGATGGAGAAGCGGTGGGTTAATGGTATTAGGATTGCAAGCTCTGGTGGCGTATTTAGAAAACTACTACTACTATCTTCGCTACTACACTTACAGTTGCAACTGTGATTTTTCCGCCAAATCTTTCTGTAATTGTCTGTTTTCTGGCGTGTCTTTTAATACGTATTCCTCACCCACGTATCTATCCCATGAGGAATTCCATCCCTGGAAAAGTCGGGCTAAATTTGGAAAAAAACAAACACTATTATTGTTACTTGGAAGTGTATTAAATATTCAACAGTTTTTCTCCCTCTGGGGTCTTTCGTCACAACTACGTCTAGTACCTGCAACATTATAACATAATTGTTAAAAAAACGCTAGTTTTATTATTGATTGATCGATTTTATAGGTTATGTATACTCACTTTTGAATCGTAGAGCACCTTGGCTTTGGTTGGATCAGGCTCATAACATAACACTCTTTCGTTTTCACTAAACTTTAACTTAATACCTCTAGTTGAAACCATATTATCGTATTTACAGTTATTTAATGGTGTTTTATTGTTGTACTCTTGATAAGATTGTTTGTTGACATTCTTGAGGCGGCGATGACATTTCTTGATAGGTTGGTAGACCTAGAAAAAAGCAACTCGGTCCCAAATTAAACGAAAAAAACGCGCTCCGCGCGTTCGTCATTTCCACTCAGTCGAAAATTTAACTCCGTAAATCGTTAGAGTCAAAATTTTGATTTTTATTTTTACCTAACGATTGTAGTTTTGCCGCCAGTGACGCAATGCCACCAATCGCGGAACAAAATCCCTAAGTTGCACTCGTCGCAAGCGACGACGTCAGTGGCGTACGATTTCTTAAATTAAATTAAATTAAATTTCACCACCGAGTGACCAATAGCTTTATTCAGTGCACTTACTGGGTGTTTACGACACGACGCAGCTTCCCTTTAGCTTGATCCATTTTATCCAACTCCCACTAGTTCCGCTATACACACCTGCACCTACGCCGCTGACGTACGTCACGACTCACTACGCACCAACATCATTGCTGCCAACGTGCACCAAAAATCGATAATTACCAGCACCGTCTGTGCTATATTTTCAAGCTTGTTTTGGCTTGTTTTTAAAGAATTGCGTCTGCTGAATATAATTCGTCACGTCTGACCCCCCAAGTCCGCTCTAGTGTTGCTAATCCACCCCTCCACTCGGTGCATTTTTCACACCTCAGTTGGCACAAAACCTCGTACTCGTCGTAGCCATCTTGTCAATTACCATCCGGGACACCGTCTGGATTTCGTGCAGTGAAACTAGTCAAGTGTTTAATCGCGCCCCAATTTCGCCCAAAAGCAGCCAAAAGCGGCGCCCCGGGATGGGTTCTTCCAGGCACCGAGACAGGAGCAGAGATCGCGATCGACGGGATAGAGATAGGGACCGCGACCGCGACAGGGACAGGAGAGACAGGAGGAAAAGCCGGGATCGGGACCGACATCGCGATAGAGACCGCGATCGCGATCGGGACCGCGAAAGAAGAGATAGAGATAGAAGCAGAAGTCGGGAAAAGCGCAAAGAAAAGACCCCGCCGGAGCCAGATGGCGAGAAACTGATCGCTGATACGCTCGCCACGATCGCGGCGACGAGGAATTTCGCGTCGTTGATAGCCCCCAAGGAGATCGACCCCAATGCGAACCAAGCAAACGGTATGATTTAGAAATTTTCCCGTTTTGATTTTTTGTAAATTGTTGATTTTGTTTAGGTGCGCAAGATGACGACGGCACGAGGAAGCGAAAGAAGCGTTCGCGATGGGCTGGGGGCGAACACGACAAGATATTTATTCCAGGCATGCCCACGATCCTACCATCTGGTTTGGACAAGAACCAGGAAACAGCTTATTTACGTAAGTCCCTTTACTTTCTTCCGTTTAAAAAAAAAAAAAAATAGAACTAAGACTAGAGATAGTTAGTTTTATATGTAAAAAAAAACAACGTGGTAAGTAGTGGCGGCAGTTGAAAAACGAATTTTGGATTCAAAAGGATGTATCAATACAACAAAAGATTTGTAAGTATGAAATTCTGTGAATTTCATGGGTGGTTACATGGGAAGGTCGCGAAATCGTGGACGTTGTTCCCTTATAGTCGCCCACTTAGTACCAAATGTATTGATATAATCATGATTTAGATGTTTCAGAGATCACGCTAAATTTTCTCAGACGTAACAAAAATTATTTCTTTACATTTAGCTCACATTTTAGATTGTACTTTTTGAACAAAATCTAACTCTAGGGCTTTTGCCCTCCTCTAACCCGTTTTATTACAGTTCAGCTCCAGATTGAGGAAGTCAGTAGAAAACTGCGCTCCGGAGACCTGGGGATTCCAGCCAATCCTGAGGAAAGGTGAAGTGTTACCAACCTTATTACCAACATCAGAACATCGTCAGCGGTTTGGCACCGATACCAGTCAATATAATGTTTTATTTTTTTATCATTTAGAGTAAAAAAGGCAACACTTTAACTTCAATTTAATTTCAATTTAGGGAAAGTTAAGGCTACAGGGTGTTGTTTAATGTTAGGAATAAAGTGCGTGTTGTTTACACCTGTGGAGCCATAATTTTCGCACTAAAAATAGACAGCTTGATAGTAAATTTGTCACTGACCCCGACTAGTGTGGGTGTTGTAAGTGTCTTTGACATTTTGTTTACAATTTGAAAATCAGAACGTTTTACTAATTTTAACAGCTGGGATTAGAGTAAGGGGGGTCAAGAATAGATGTCTGATCTATTTATTTTTAGTATCTTACGTTTTCTGATTGTTTTGTCAGATATTCATTTAGAAACACCCAATAAATAGTGTACCAAAATTGACTTTGTTACAGGATTTGTTGGGTCCAAATTTCAGTGCTAGAGCATTTGTCACCAAGGCTCAGCAGTTGGTACTACACTGAAAACAATTAATAAATATTTACTTTCAGCTATAACAAGAAAGCGAGTTAATAATCCTTTATTATTACAGCAACTAATGAATTTTTCTCTTTAGGTTTCGAACTTAAAGTTGCATTACACAAAAATAATATCAGTAGATTGAAGTTTCAGTAACTGGATCATAACACAAGAAAAACTGTTTGTTTGTTTTTGTTTTTTTCAAATTATTGTAATGTCACACTTCAAATCCAGTTTTTCTTGTCTTCAGCTAGTTTTCGTGATTGACTTTCATTTCCCGGTCCCTCACGTCTGACTAGCGTTTGCTCAAAATTTGTGTCGCTCAAAATCAGTGACATAACCACACATCCCTTGATTTAGTTAGGTAGAATAAGAAAAGAAGTGTCTGCGCCACAAATCAAAAATTTCGCGCAATTTTTGACTTGGGCAGAGGCGCGTTTTTCTTATTATTATTTTGTGTTTTTCTTCTATGTGCAGATCTCCGTCGCCTGAACCGATTTACAGCAGCGACGGTAAGCGCCTGAACACGAGAGAATTTCGCACTAGAAAAAAATTAGAGGAAGAGCGGCATGCGCTTGTTCTGCGAATGCAACAAATCAATCCTGATTTCAAACCACCAATGGATTATAAGTAAGCTAAAACCACTGGCGTTCACGGAATTTTCTTTAACGCTTGTAATGTAGTTGCAGACCCCCGGTCGTAAGAGTAAGTGACAAAGTTATGATCCCGCAAGAAGAACACCCTGAAATCAATTTTGTAGGTTTGTTAATTGGTCCTAGAGGTAACACTCTGAAGAGTAAGTACGTGTTTTTGACTAAGTTTTTTTGTTATTTGGTCGTGTTTAACAGCGATGGAAAAAGAAACAGGGGCGAAAATCATTATCAGGGGTAAAGGTAGTGTGAAAGAGGGTAAAGTGGGACGGAAGGATGGTCAACCGCTTCCGGGCGAAGACGAACCGTTGCATGCTTATATAACAGCAACGAATCCCGAGTGTGTGAAGAAGGCTGTGGAAAGGGTGGGTATTAATTTAGACGATTTTGTCCCGTATTGACGACTATTTCAGATTAAAGAGGTCATCAGACAAGGGGTTGAGGTGCCTGAAAACCAGAACGACCTCAGACGCATGCAGCTGAGAGAACTCGCTCAGCTCAATGGCACCCTTCGGGAAAACGACGGCATGCGATGTAACAATTGTGGTGCCACTGACCACAAATCGTGGCTGGTAAGTCTGATTTTCTCGAAAATCGTTTAACGTTTGATTCACCTGTCTCTCTCCTCAGTGCCCAGACAAACCCAACGTCACTAACAACATCGTGTGCTCGAGCTGCGGCGCCGCCGGCCACATAGCCCGCGACTGCCGCCAGAAGCGCCCGGGTCAAGGCGGCCCCCCTGCCCAGGGCGACAAAGCCAAAATCGACGAAGAATACATGTCGCTGATGGCCGAACTGGGCGAGGCTCCGCCCCCCGACGCTGTCAAAACCGAGACCACCACCACCACCACCACTCGCAAAACCAGCAGTTTCAATCTGTTTGAGGCGCAAATGACCCCCAGGCCGCTGATGCCGCCCCCGATGCCCACCCCGACGACCATTCCGTGCATGAACGGCATGGCGCCGCCCCCGTGGGGCGTGACTCAAACGATGACGTGGCAGCCCGGCCCGCCGGGAATCATGCCCCCGCCGCCGCCGCCAGGCGCGTCGAGTCCCCCACAGATGATGCAGTGGATGGGGGCGAACAACCAGCCGCCGCCGCCGGGGGCGGGCACTACGAACGGCACGATGACGGCAGCGGGGATGGCGCCGTGGCAAGCCACGGCGTTCTCGTGGCCGCCGGGGAATTGTCCGCCGCCGCCGCCGCCAGGGATTGATGTTAACAGTTTGTTGACCACGCCACCGCCACCGCCGCCGTCGTAAAGGGGTGGGAGCGGGTTTATGATAGGGTTTTGTATCTACACTCAATAGTTACTTTATGTGGGATGTAATTATATGATATATGGAAATGATTAATATATGTTCATGTGGAGGCTGGTGTTATTGGGGTGGTGCGAAACTGATTAGGTACCAGTGAATCGGTATTTATTACTTCCATTAGGGAATTTGAAAAAGTGGATAAAGTAAATTAGGACAATAAATTATATTTGGTAACACTGATATACATTTATGTATTTTACCTCCCAAGGGACGTCATCGTGTCAAATGTGTAATTTATGTTTTGTTACTGTTACACCTCGTGAAGTCGACTCATCAACTTGCAATTATTAATATTAATACTAATTACTATTTTACAGTGTACAGACGTTCGTTTTTTTTAATCCGAGACTTGCTTCTGTTTCGTGAAGTGACCCTCACCAGAGCATCCCAGATCCTACGATTTCCCCAGCCCTCTCTGATTACACCACGACAATGGAAATTTTGAAGAACCCTTGTATAGATTTAGAAATTATTTTTGTTGTTGAAGCCATTAAGACAAAGTTTATGAACAAATTTTAGTAGAAGGCAATTTTTCGTTAAATTTATGGAACAGACTTCTATATCTTTTGAGTACGTTGGATAGATTCAGCTGTCGTAAAAAGAGTGCTAGATTGAGAAAACAGAAACGAAGGATTTTGGATAGATTGAGGACAATCTAAAACCAGGTAGCCCTTCAAGGCCTTGTTTATCCATTTAAAAATGCGATTTTTATTTAAACAACCACTAGAATTTCAATTTTACATATAAAATTTGTCTGAAAACCTAACCCCAAAATTTGTGGGGTTATGCAACCAACATTACACATCGTACTAAATGTATTTAAGACGGTATGACTCGGCCTGGTTAAGGACGGTTTTCATTCCATTTCAAAACGAGGGAAATTGACTTATTATTATTATTTTGTCCCTTTTGTATTAAAATCTGATTTTCAGTTCTGTTTTCTGTGTAAAAAAAAAAGTAAAAACATGCAAAAATAACGACATTTACATTATAACTCTCCAAGTTTCGATTCTTTTGGCATTTTGTCGATTTTTTTATTTATTTCGATTCACAATTTTTTATTTATTCAATTTTTCAAATTTTCAGGCTTTGATTTTTCAATTCCATGATTTTCCACGTTTAATATGTGTAGACTTCTTTTCACAACATGAAACTTAAAACATGTTTAAAATGGTAAATTTGTACCAGGAAATTTACCATTTTAACCATATTTTAAGTTTATTGTTGTAAAAAGATAACTGCACGTATTTAGAAAAAAGGACAAGATGTAAGCCCCACCCACCCACCCTATTTCTATTGTGATGATTTTTTTAATTCGTCGTGGGCCAAGAAGGCGGAGCTTAACTGCAAAATTCGTGTTTCTCTACGAGAAATTAAAAACATGTTCTTGCGTATCGTGTTGCTCAAAGAATACTAGGTATATTACGGAAAAAATAAAGCCAAAGATTAGGCCCCGATCTCAGTTCTTAATTGTGATGAATTTTTCATTCGTTGTCAGATCGACGTATTTCAAGTTTCTAAGAATAAAAAAATTGTTACAATTGAGACAGGGTGGGTGGGCGGGGTTTATATTTTGCGGTTTTTTCTTAATATAAATTGTATTCTTTGAACAACATGATACTCAAAAACATGCTTTTAATTTCTTGTAAAGAAGTAAGTATTTTGCAGTTAAGCTCCGCCCTCTTGGTTCACGGCGAATAAAAAAAATCATCACAATTGAGACAGGGCGGGTGGGCGGGGTTAGATGTTGCCTTTTTGTTTTAACATGTGTAGACTTCTTTTCACAACATGAAACTAAAAATATCGTTAAAAGTAAAAGTTCATTTATTTTTCAACACTCGGCTCCGGCTTGGGTAAGAATTACGTCCTAAGTCCCAACTTTTCTTCAAAATGTATATTATTCAAAATTGATATGAAAAGAAAATCTTGAATATTCCTTTTTAAACAAAATCTGAGATCTGCCACATATTTTTCAAATCTCGACTTCTCCTCGTGTTTAAAAATAGCGCCGATTATATCCTTGCACCTTTTCTTTAATTTTCAATATTTTAATTTTACAATATATATTTCTTTTTTTTATTTTTCACTTTTTCGAATTTCAAGTTTTTCAATTTTTAATCTTTCGATTTTTCAAATTTTCGTCTTTCTTTAAATTTTCATGTTTGATTTTCACTTTTGACGTTTTTCAAGTTTTCATTATATACTTTTTCGTTTTTTTTATTACAGTTTCTCATTTTTCGATTTTTTATATTCTGACTTTTTAATTTTTGTCATTTTCAAATTTTCGTTTCCTCAATTTTTCAAGTTCTCGATTTTTATTTTTCATTCTCCCGATTTTTTTAATTTTCATTGTCTCGATTTTATGTCGCAAATTTTCATTTTTTCAATTCGTTTATTTTTTGTTGTTTCCTTCGATTTTTATTTTTTAATGTGGCGAATTTTTAATTTTTATTTTCTCGACTTATATCACAATTGTCCGTTTTTTCATTTCCTTTATATTCTGTGTTTTTTTTTGATTTTACAATTTTTCATGTATTCAATTTTTCAAATTTTCAGGCTTTGAATTTTCATTTCATCCATTTTTTAATTTTTTAATTTTTTACTTTGCAGCTTTTGGATTTCCAGTCTTCCGATTTTCCAATTTCTTTAATTTTCAATATTTCCATTTCATAATACATATTTCTTTTTTTTTATTTTTCACTTTTTCGATTTTTGAGATTTTTCAAGTTTTCATTTTGTAATTTTTCATTTTTTATTTTTGATTTTTCAATTTTACAATTTCTCGACTTCCAAAATTTTCAATTTTTCGTTCCTTCAATTTTTCGGTTTGCATCAGTTTTTCAATTTGGCAATTTTTCAATATTGCAGTTTATCATTTTTCGATTTTTCAGTTTCTCAATTTTTAATTTTTCCTTTTTCCAATTTTTTTGTTTCCGATTTTTATTTTTCATTTTCCCGATTTTTTAGTTTTCACTTTTTCGATTTTGTATCACAAATTTTCGTTTTTTCATTTCCTTTATTTTTTGTTGTTTCTTTCGATTTTTCAAGTTTTCGTTTATTCAATTTTTCAAATTTTCATGTTTTTTTCAATTTTTCTTCAAATTTTCAAGTTTGATTTTCACATTTTACATTTTTCAAGTTTTTATTATACACTTTTTCGTTTATTTGTTTTTGATTTTTCAATGTTGCAATTTGTCGACTTCCAAATTTTCCAATTTTTCAATATTACAATTTCTCATTTTTCCATTTTTCCAATTCTCGATTTTTAATTGTGCCCTTTTTCAATTTTCCGTACCCTCAATTTTTCAACTCCCCGATTTTTATTTTGCATTTTCCTGATTTTTTATTTTTCATATTCTCGATTTTATATCACAATTTTTTGTTTTTTCATTTCCTTAATTTTTCCAATTTTAAAATTTTTCAGTTTGCAGTTTTTGGGTTTCCACCCCTTTTTTACTTTTTGGATTTTCAATTTTTCGTTAAACTTTAGATTTTTCAAATTTTCGACGGTTTTATACTTCGATTTCTCTTTTTTTTTCAACTTTTCGATGTGTTAATTTTGCTTTTTTAAAACTTTTCAATTTTTTTCATTTCTCGATTTATCGCATTCAGATGTTTGGATGGTTTGATTGTTCAGTTTCTCAATTTATCAGTTTCTCAATTTTTTCTATTTCTCGAAGTTTCGATTTTTGGATTTCTCGGTTTTTCGATTTTCCAATTTTCGATGTTTCGATTTTTCAGTTATCCGATTTTTCATTTTTTTTTTAATTCTGGAGTTTGGATTTTTCGATTTTTTAGTTTTTCCGGCATTTCAATTGTTCAATGTTTTAAATTTTAGATTTTTCGATTTCTGAATTTTTTGATTTTCTAGTTCTTCAGTATTTCTATTTTACGATTTTTCAAATTTTTGACGTTGCTAAATTTTCAGTTTTCTGATTTTTCAATTCTTCAATTTTTCATTTTTCGATTTTTCAAGTTCTTGATTTTTATTTTTCACTTTCCCGAGTTTTGAATTTTCATTTTCTCGATTTTATATCACAGTTTTTCGTATTTTCATTTCTTTTATTTTTTTCAATCTTTTATTTTTGCAATTAATCTACTCCCTCTTGGCTCACGACGAATAAAAAAAATCATTACAATCGGGATAGGGCAGGTGGGCGGGGCTAATATTGTGACATTTTTCTTAATATATGTAATAATCTTTTCACAAAAAAACTTAAAAATAGTAATGAAGTTTTCATTCGTTGTCAGGTCGAGGGGCGGAGCGTAATTGCAAAATCCATATTTCAAAACAAAAAATTACCATTTTAAACATGTTTTAATTTCCTGTTGTCATATATTAAGAAAAGAAGGCAAGATATATTGACCGCCTACCCACACTATCTCGATTGTGGTGATTTTTTTTATTCGCCATAGGCCGGGGGCAAAGGTAACTATAAAAGAAAACCAAAAATTAAACCCCACCCATCCGTCTGGATCTAAATCATTGTTTCTTCCGATTTTATCAATTTTCGTGTATTCAGTTTTTCAATTCCTTTTTTCTTTAATTTTCAGTATTTCGTTTTTTCGATTTTAAGTTTCTCAATTTGAATATTTTAATTTTTGAATTATTCGTTTCTTTAATTTCTCAAATTCTTTGTTTCCATTTTTTAGATTATTCAAAGTTTTCATTTCATTTTTTTCGTTTTTGCATTTTTTATTTCTCAATTTTACAATGTTTCTTTCGATTTTATAATTTTTTAGTTTTCCAAATTTTTGATTTTTTTTATTTTTCAGTTTCCGATTTCATTAAGTTTCAATTTTTCGTTTCTTCAATTTTTCGGTTTGCATCAATTTTTTCAATTTGGCAATTTTTCAATATTGCAGTTTTTCTTTTTTCGATTTTTCAGTTTCTCCATTTTTAATTTTTCCCTTTTCCAATTTTTTTGTCTCCGATTTTTATTTTTCATTTTCCCGATTTTTTAATTTTCACTTTTTAGATTTTGTCACAATTTTTCGTTTTTTCATTTCCTTTATTTTTTGTTGTTTCTTTCGATTTTACAATTTTTCGTTTATTCAATTTTTCAAATTTTCAGGCTTTTTTCAATTTTTCTTCAAATTTTCAAGTTTGATTTTCACTTTTTACATTTTTCAAGTTTTTATTATACACTTTTTGGTTTTTTTATTTTTGATTTTTCAATTTTACAATTTGTCGACTTCTAAATTTCCCAATTTTTCAATATTACAATTTCTCATTTTTCCATTTTTCACATTCTCGATTTTTAATTGTGCCCTTTTTCAATTTTCCGTCCCCTTCGATTTTTATTTTGCATTTTCCTGATTTTTTATTTTTTATTTTCTCGATTTCATATCACAATTTTTTGGTTTTTCATTTCCTTAATTTTTCTTGTTTCTTTCGATTGCAATTCGTCGATTTTCAAATTTTTAAATTTTTCAGTTTGCAATTTTTGGGTTTCCACCTCTTTTTTACTTTGTGGATTTTCAATTTTTCGTTAAACTTTAGATTGTTCTTCAAATTTTCAAGTTTGATTTTCACTTTTTACATTTTTCAAGTTTTTATTATACACTTTTTCGTTTTTTTTATTTTTGATTTTTCAATTTTACAATTTGTCGGCTTCCAAATTTTCCAATTTTTCAATATTGCAATTTCTCATTTTTCCATTTTTCACATTCTCGATTTTTAATTTTTCCCTTTTTTAGTTTTTCTCCCCTAAATTGTTCAACTCCCCGATTTTTATTTTGTGTTTTCCTGATTTTTTTATTTTCTCGATTTTATATCATAATTTTTTGTTTTTTCATTTCCTTAATTTGTGTTGTTTCTTTCGATTTACAATTTTTTATTCATTCAATTTTTCAAATTTTCAGGCTTTGATTTTTCAATTCCATGATTTTTCATGTTTAAAATTTTTCAATTTGCAGTTTTTGAATTTCCAGACTTCCAATTTTTCAATTTCTTTAATTTTCAATATTTTTATTTTACAATATATATATTACTTTTCTTTTTATTTTTACTTTTACGAATTTCAAGTTTTTCAATTTTTAATCTTTCGATTTTTCAAATTTTCGAGTTGCAATTTTTTAATTTCGCAATTTTTCGATATTACAGTTTCTCACTTTTGGATTTTTCACATTCTCAGTTTTTAATATTTGTTATTTTCAATTTTTCGTTTCCTCAATTTTTCAAGTTCTCGATTTTTATTTTAAATTTTTCCGATTTTTTTAATTTTTATTTTCTCGATTTTATGTCACAAATTTTCATTTTTTCTTGTTTTTTCTGTCGAGTTTTCAATTTTTCGCTTCTTCAATTTTTCGAATTTTCAGTTTCTCAATTTTTCGTTTCCACAATTTTGCATGTTCCCGATTTTTATTTTATTTCCTTTATTTTCTGTGTTTTTTTTTCGATTTTACAATTTTTCATTTGTTCAATTTTTCAAATTTTCAGACTTTGAATTTTCAGTTCGCCCATTTTTCGATTTTTAAATTTTTCACTTTGCAGTTTTTGGATTTCCAATCTTCCGATTTTCCAATTTCTTTCATTTTCAATATTTCTAATTCATAATAGACATTTCTTTTTTTTTATTTTTCACTTTTTCGATTCTTGAGATTTCTCAAGTTTTCATTTTGTAATTTTTCGTTTTTTATTTTTGATTTTTCAATTTTACAATTTCTCGACTTCCAAAATTTTCAATTTTTCGTTCCTTCAATTTTTCGGTTTGCATCAGTTTTCAGTTTTTCAATTTTTCAATATTACAGTTTATCATTTTTAGATTTTTCAGTTTCTCAATTTTTTATTTTTCCTTTTTCCAATTTTTTTGTTTTCGATTTTTATTTTTCATTTTCTCGATTTTTTAATTTTCACTTTTTCGATTTTATATCGCAATTTTTCGTTTTTTTATTTCCTTTATTTTTTGTTATTTCTTTCGATTTTACAATTTTTCGTTTATTCAATTTTTCAAATTATCAGGTTTTTTTCAATTTTTCTTCAAATTTCCAAGTTTGATTTTCACTTTTTACATTTTTCAAGTTTTTATTATACACTTTTTCGTTTTTTTTTTCTTTTAGATTTTTCAATTTTACAATTTGTCGACTTCCAAATTTTCCAATTTTTCAATATTACAATTTCTCATTTTTCCATTTTTCACATTCTCGATTTTTATTTTTTCGTCCCCTCAGTTTTTCAATTTTTCATTTTCTCGATTTTATATCACAATTTTTTATTTTTTCATTTCCTTAATTTTTGTTGTTTCTTTCGATTTTCCAATTTTTGGTTCATTGAATTTTTCAAATTTTCAGGCCAATCGATTCCAATTCGTCGATTTTCCAATTTTTAAATTTTTCAGTTTGCAGTTTTTGGGTTTCCACCCCTTGTTTACTTTTTGGATTTTCAATTTTTCGTTAAACTTTAGATTTTTCAAATTTTCGTCAGTTTTATACTTCGATTTTTCAATTTTCTTTCAACTTTTCGATGTTTTAATTTTTCTTTTTTAAAACTTTTCAATTTTTATTTCTCGATTTATGGAGGTTTTGATTGTTCAGTTTCTCAATTTATCAATTTCTCAATTTTTTTTGTATTTCTCGATATTTTGATTTTTCAGTTATCCGATTTTTCGATTTTTTTTAAATTCTGGAGTTTCGATTTGTCGATTTTTCAGTTTTTCGATTTTTCAGTTCTTCAATTCTTCGATTTTTGGATTTTTCGGTTGGCTAATTTTTTAATTTCTCAATTTTGGATATTGTTTCAGTTTTGGGATTTTTCAATATTTCCATTTTTCGACTTTTCGATTTTTAATTTTTGGATTTTCAGGTTTTCGTTTTTTAAACTTTAGTTTTTTCAATTTTCGACTGTTTTATATATATTTCGATTTCTGAATTTTTCGAGTTTTCAGTTCTCGTATATTTTAATTTTTCTTTTTTCCGAATTTTTTATTTTTCGATTTTTCAATTTTTCAGTTCGAAAGTTTCGAAAGAGCGACAACATTATACCTCCTAAACGCACGGAACAACGGTAGCAATAGCAGGCGTTAAGATATTTGAAAAGTGACTAGAGTGTTTGGACTACGTGAAGAGTTATTTATGCCCAACTGTTGTGTGACAATTCTGAGTGATACCACCTTAAAAAAAGTAAATTGGGGCAAGCCCATCAATCTTTATTGTAATTAAATTCTCAATACTATTTAAAGTAATAATACTAACAATAATAAAGGTGACCAAAATGGCGCCTTTTGGAATACTGGAAAAAATAAAATCAATATGCGCTCATGGTTCTAATTTTTTTTACAGTTATTCGTGCAGTTTTTATTAAATAAAATGTAATCAATAATTCGGTATTCAAGACAGTAACGCACTTTTAATAACAAACCACGTCATGCTTAAAAAATTTCAACTTCCTCTGTATTGTTAGTTTGTCGCTGCGCCGTTGGCGGCCCTGCGCGCGCCTAGTGCCTTTCCAGTCGCTCGGTTGTCGAAATGCGGGAGTGGCATTTCTTTTATCTATGGTGGCACTGTTGCGAGTGGTCATGAAACATCCAAGACGTTTTTTAAAAGTTAATGTTTTAATTTAAAGTCTGTTAAAAGTGTGAAGTGTATGGTCATTTTAACAGTATGTGTAGGATTAGTGTTTAGTCGAAAATGTTCCGTTGTATACCGATCTTCAAAGGTTGCAACAGACAAGTGGAGTTTGTTGACAAGAGGCACTGTTCCTTACCCAACGTTCCAGAGGATATTTTACGTTACTCGCGGAGTTTAGAGGAGCTTCTTCTAGATGCTAACCATATCCGGGATCTTCCAAAGGTACGCCATAACCTCACAAACCCGTTAACACAACCCTCGCTTTTAGAATTTCTTCCGTCTGCACCGTCTCAGGAAACTTGGTTTAAGCGACAATGAAATTAATCGGCTACCACCCGACATACAGAATTTCGAGAATTTGGTGGAGTTGGACGTCTCCCGGAATGGTGGGTATGGGTTTGGGGTCCACAGAGTGACTTTTTTGTAGATATTCCAGACATTCCGGAGAGCATTGGGGCGCTGCGCGCCCTCCAAGTCGCCGACTTCAGCTCCAACCCCATCCCGCGACTCCCCCCGGCGTTCAGCCAGCTCAAGTCTCTGACGGTCCTTGGTTTGAATGACATGTCTTTAACGTCCCTCCCGGCCGATTTTGGCATGCTCACTGCATTAACCTCTTTAGAATTAAGAGAAAATTTGCTCAAAGAGCTGCCAACGTCGCTGTCGCTCCTCACTCGCCTCGAGAGGCTAGATTTAGGGGACAACGAAATCGAGGAACTGGTATGAAATTCGGTGTTTGTGGGATTAGTTTGAGGGTTGGTTTTTAGCCGCCGCACATCGGGCAGCTGCCGGCGCTGCAAGAGCTCTGGCTCGACCACAACCAGCTGCAGAACCTCCCGTCCGAAATTGGGCAGCTGCGCAACCTGACGTGTCTCGACTTGTCGGAAAACCGTTTGGAGAACCTCCCCGACGACGTCGCCGGCTTGGAAAGTCTGACCGACTTGCATTTATCGCAGAACGTCCTCGAGACCCTGCCCGACGGCATCGGGAAGCTCGAGAAACTCACAATTTTAAAAGTGGACCAAAATAGATTGACTTCTTTAAATTCTAACATAGGTTATTGTTACAATCTGCAGGAATTAATACTTACGGAGAATTTTTTAAGTGAGATGCCTAAAGAAATAGGCAAATTAGTTAAATTAACGAATTTAAACGTCGATCGCAATAGTTTGACGGCAATACCGGAACAACTAGGCAATCTACATGAACTCGGTGTACTTAGTTTGCGTGATAATAGACTGACGTCAATTCCGGACTCTTTAGGGAGTTGTAAACGTTTGCACGTTTTGGATGTATCAGGGAATCGACTGCCTCATTTACCTTATAGTTTGTTACAACTCGACCTTAAAGCAGTGTGGCTTAGTGAGAATCAAGCGCAGCCTTTGCTCACGTTCCAGACCGACACGGACGACGCAGGGAAAATGGTGCTCACGTGTTTCCTACTGCCTCAGCAGGAGTATCAACCGACTATAAGTAAGTCAACTTAAATGTTCCAGCACGCTTACAATCTCAGGCTTTACATATATACATTTTTGTGATAATTAAATCCTCGTCACTACGCTTCTAAATATGGAACGTCCATCCGGGGATCCAAACACCCCCCACCTGTTTGCGCTTATTAAACTTTTATTAATTGCGCTCCCCAGAAATTTATTTATTTATTTCCAAATTTATTACGCCAATATTACGGCAAGTTTAAAGCGGTAATTAACTAGAGATAAAAATAAATAACTTTAAACAAGGAAATAAAAATCGCAAATATTTTACACAACTATTTTTATTATATTTACAGGAGTCGAATTTCGGAAAGTCTTTCACTCGTCACTCCGACAATTAGTTCTTTGAAAATGATAAAAAATATGATTCAAAAAGTAAAGCGATAACGGCTGGTAATTAAAGATAAATAAACGAGTGCCTATTGGTGGGAACTAGTTTAACAACAAGCTTTTAGCGCGACGTTTAGCGTTCTTTATCGAAATGCAAATGTTGCAGCGAAACGTTGAGCGATTTTTTTCATCCCGTTTTAAAATATACAGTCGGGCTTGCACAAAGTCGACGGCGTGTTTGTTTTCGCCGAAATTTTAAACAGTTTTATGCGCTTGTTCAAACAGAAAAATAACTAGATCCGTCGAAAATCCGTCAAAACGTCGCATTTTATTGACTGAGTTGGTGCTCGTTTTGCGACTAATTTGTGACAAATTTTAATTTTGGTCTCGAGTTTTTTTCAACTCGGTGTGATTTTGTGTTATGCGGCCTTTATTGGAGCAAGGATATCGCAAAGTTTTTACGGGATTACGCAATAAGTTTTTGCATTGCGATATTGTAAATATTTTTCTACGGAAGCACGAAGTGCAAACGTAACGAATTTGCTGGCTCGGAGCGTTTGTGTGGAGCGAGTGGGTGTTTAATGTTTTATACATTAGAAAAAATTCATATTTTGTAGTGACAGTTCACGAGTTTTATATTCCTGTATTAAAAAAAATAAATAAAATGAGAAAGTTGGGTGAAAAACTGGACTTGTTTTATGGATTAATCTCCAGAGGAGAGGGAAGTTCTGTCCAAATGACTAAGGGACCAATATTTTAGATTTTTTTGTAGGAAACTACATATTACTTCGAAAGTGTTTTTTTCTTTTTTAATAATACTCTGGTAACGTCATAATTTCATTTTTTCTCTACGTTTCATAACCCCTAGTATGTGAAAATGTAGGTCGCCCGTTTCGTCTGTCTGTCATCTATCTGTCGTTTGTCCGTCTATAGTCTGTTGGCGTTTTTATCAGACAGAGTATCTCCCAAATTTTGATATATTTTAGGAATGTGTTCCCTTTTTTAATTTTTTGTCGCATTTTTGTGGACTTTTCCAGTTTTTTGACTCAAATTTTTGATCGCTTTTTTCGCCTTTTATTTATTATCTTGTTATCCTACGTTAATAAAGACTATTATTATTTTAATCACATTTTTTGGTCACTTTTTCTGTTAATTTGTGTTTTCTTTGGCTCGGGTTTTTGTTCCTTTTTTTTGTCGCGTTTTTTGTCCCTTTGTTATCACCTTTTTCACAATTTTTCTTTTTTTTTGTCACTTATTGAATCTATTATTATTATTATTATTTGTTGAATTTTTTTTTCTTATTTTTTGTCTCTTTGTTTAAAGATTTTTTTGTTCGCATTTTTTTGAATTCTTTCAAAAAGTGACGAATCGGATTTTTTGGGCTCATTGTCTTTCTTGTATTTTTCAATTAGCTTTCGTTTGGTTACTTTTTTCGCTTTTTATTTGTCGCTTTTGTATTTTTTTTTGGTCTTTTTTTGTCACATTTCCTGTAGCCTTTTTTGTAGTTTTTTTTTTACTACATTTTCTTGCTTACATTTTCTTGTAGCTTGTTTTGTCGCGTTTGTTGTCCCCTTTTTGATCAGATAATTTTTTTCAATCCCTTTTAAGCACTTTTTTCTGTTTAATCCATTTTTTAGAATTTTTTGTGGGTTTTTTGTTACATTTTTTGTTGCCCTTTTTTTGTGTGTTTTTTTCTTCTGTTACCTTTTTTCTTTTGGTCTTCCGATTTTCCAATTTCTTTAATTTTCAATATTTCTATTTCATAATACATATTTCTTTTTTTATTTTTCACTTTTTCGATTTTATATCACAGTTTTTCGTTTTTTCATTTTCTTTATTTTTTGTTGTTTTTTTCGATTTTACAATTTTTCGTTTATTCAATTTTTCAAATTGTCAGGTTTTTTTCAATTTTGCTTCAAATTTCCAAGTTTGATTTTCACTTCTTACATTTTTCAAGTTTTTATTATACACTTTTTCGTTTTTTTATTTTTCATTTTTACAATTTGTCGGCTTCCAAATTTTCCAATATTACAATTTCCCATTTTTCCATTTTTCACATTCTCGATTTTTAATTTTTCCCCTTTTCAATTTTTCGTCCTCTCAATTTTTCAGCTCCCCGATTTTTATTTTGCGTTTTCCTGATTTTTTATTTTTCATTTTCTCGATTTTATGTCACAATTTTTTGTTGTTTCATTTCCTTAATTTTTGTTGTTTCTTTAGATTTTCCAATTTTTATTTCAGTTTGCAGTTTTTGGGTTTCCGCCCCTTTTTTACTTTTGGATTTTCAATTTTTCGTTAAACTTTGGATTTTTCAAATTTTCGACGGTTTTATACTTCGAGTTCTCATTTTTTTTTTCAACTTTTCCATGTTTTAATTTTTCTTTTTTAAAGCTTTTCATTTTTTTTTATTTCTCGATTTATCGAATTCAGATGTTTGAATGTTTTGATTATTCAGTTTCTCAATTTATCAGTTTCTGGATGTTTCGATTTTTCAGTTATCCGATTTTTCAATTTTTTTAAATTCTGGAGTTTGGATTTCTTCATTTTTGAATTTTGCGATATTTTTACTTTTGTTCTTTTTTGGGCTTTTTTTGTCACAGCCTTTTTTGTAGTTCTTTTTACTATATATTTTCTTGGTTACTTTTTCTTGCAGCCTTTTTTGTCGCGTTTGTTGTCCCATTTTCGATCAGATAATTTTTTTTCAATCCCTTTTAAGCACTTTTTTTCTGGTTAATCCATTTTTACTATTTTTATTTTTTTTGTGGGGTTTTTGGCACATTTTTTTGTCACCGTTTGAATTAGCTTTTTATTTTTTTTTTTTATTTTTTTTTTCTGTTTAATCCATTTTTTAGCATTTTTTGTGGGGTTTTTGTTACATTTTTTGTTGCCCTTTTTGTGTGTTTTTTTCTTATGTTACCTTTTTTTTTTGGTATCTTTGTTTGGCCATTTTTTTTCCATTTCCTTCCTCATTTTGTCCGTTTTTCTTGACATTTTTGTGACCGTTTTTCTCTTTTTTTTTAATTGTTTTTTTGTCACTTTTTTTGTAGTTTTTTTGGCACTTTTTTCGTGGTTTCTTTTGTTACAATTTATGTTGCCTCTTTTCTTGACCTTTTGAATCAATTTTTTTCCTCTCATTTTCTTATGCTTTTTTCACCTTTTAGTTGCGTTTTTTTTTTGTCAATTTTTGTGGCTTTGTAACTCTTTCTCCTTATCTTTTTTTTTGCCCTTTCTTGCCGTTTTTTTTTGTCACTTTTTTGTGGCTTTTGTCGGATTTTTACTGATTTTCTTAGTTACCTTTTCTTGTAGCCTTTTTTGTCGCGGTTTTTTTGCCCTTTTTAAATTTTTTTATTTCACCTTTGTCATTTTTGGTTGTTTTTCGTCTTTTTTTGGTCTCTTCTTTTAGCCTTTTATTTTCCGCGCTGTTTTCATTTTTTGTTGTCTTTTTTAGTTTATTTTGCTTCTTTTAGAATTACATTTTTGGTCGCTTTTGGTTTTTTATCGCCCTTTTTGTTGATTTTCTATCTTTTTATTTGTGCATTTTTTGTTATTTTTTCGGTTGTGTTTTTTTTGTCACGTATTGGCTCCACTTTCTTACAGTCGCAATTTTTTGTATCCTTTTTTGCCTTTTTTATCTTTTCTTGCTTCACGAATCAGTTTTTTGTGGTCTCATTTTCTTGTCGCATTTTCTCTCTTTTTTATTTATCAATTAAAAGGTAATTTGTTGCTTTTGGTCTTTTTTTGCCCTTTTTTGGTCGTTTTTTTGTAGTTATTTTTTACCACACTTTCTTGTAGCCTTTTTTGCCGCGTTTGTTACCCCTTTTCTGATCAGTTTTTTTTTAAACCCTGTTAAGCACCTTTTGTTGGTCGATTCTTTTAGCTTTTTATTATTCGCTGCGTTTTGTTCCATTTTTTTCTGTTGACTCCATTTTTTGTCGTTTTTTTAAGTTTTTTTTTTTTGGTGGAGTTTTTGTTCTTTTTTTTGTCACTTTTTGATTTTTTTTTTGTCACTTTTTCTGTGTTTTTTAAACCGCTCTTCTTTTACCTTTTATTTGTTCCCTTTTAAATTTTTTTGGTCTCTTTTTTAATCATCTTTTTCCATTTCTCTCCCTCTTTTTGCCGTTTTTTTCCAAATTTTTGTGGCCATTTTTCTCTTTTTTGCATTTTTTTTGTCACGTTCTCCACTTTCTTAAAGTCACATTTTCTTCTATCCTTTTTTGCCGCGTTCTTTTTTCTAACTTTTTTTATAGTTTTTTCGTTACAATTTTTGTGACCTCTTTTATTCACTTTTTGAATCAATTTTTTTCGTCTTATTTTTTTGTCGCTTTTTTGTCCCTTTTTCGCCTTTTAGTAGCGTTTTTTTCTGCAATTTTTTGTGGCCTTGTAACCCTTTCTCCCTATTTTTTGTTTACTTTTTTTTCGTTTTTTTTGGTCACTTTTTTGTGGATTTTGTCGGTTTTTTATTAATTTTCTTGGTTACTTTTTCTTGTAGCCTTTTTTATCGTGATTTTTGCCCTTTTTTTAATTTTTTTTATCATCTTTATGCCATTTTTTTGTGCGTTTAATTCATTATTACTATCTTTCCCTCATTTTTTGGTGGAGTTTTTGTTACATTTTATTGTTTATTTTGCTTCTTTTAGAATCATATTTTTGGTCGCTTTTGTTTTTTATCGCCTTTTTTACTGCTTTTATATCTTTTTATTTGTGCGTTTTTTGTTATTTTTTTTTTTGTCTTTTTTGCTTAAACATTTTTTTTGTGGGGTTTTTGTTTTTTTTTTGTTCTTTTTTGTCACCTTTTGAATAATTTTTTGCCCACTTTTTCTGTGTTTTTTAACCGCCCTTCTTTTACCCTTCATTTGTTCCCTTTTAATTTTTTTTTGTCTCTTTTTCAATCATCTTTTTCCATTTTCCCAGCTCTGTTTGCCGTTTTTTTTTTCATATTTTTGTGGCCATTTTCTCTTTTTCTTTTTGCATTTTTTTTGTCACGTTCTGTGGCTTTTTGACGTCACTTTCTTAACGTCACATTTTCTTTTATCCTTTTTTTGCCCCGTTTTTTTTTGTAGTTTTTTTTTGTCCTTTTTTCACCCATTTTAGTAGCATTTTTTTTGTAATTTTTTGTAACTTTGTAACCCTTTCTCCCTATTTTTTGTTTACCTTTTTTTTTGGTCACTTTTTTGTGGCTTTTGTCGGTTTTTCTTGTAACCTTTTCTTATCGCGATTTTTTGCCCTTTTTTAATTTTTTTATCATCTTTATGCCATTTTTTTTGTGCGTTTAATCCATATTTGGTGGAGTTTTAATTACATTTTTTGTTGTCTTTTTTTATTTTTGGTCGGTTTTTGTGTTTCTTTATAACCTTTTTTTGCTTACTTTTTATTTGTTGTATTTTTTTGTTATTTTTTGTCTCTTAGTTTAAACTTTTATTTTGCCATTTTTTTTTATTCGCATTTTTCGTTTATTTTTGTGTATTTTTTTTTTGTCACGTTTTGACTCCACTTTCTTAAAGTCGCAATTATTATTATCATTTTTTTGTGGCGTTCTTTTTGACCCTCGATTTTCTAATCACCTTTGTCGCCTTTTTTGTCCTTTCTTTCTTCACATTTTTTGTGGCCTCTTTCAAAAAGTGACAAATCAGTTTTTTCTGGTCTCATTTTCTTGTTGCGTTTTCTTTCTCTTTTATATTTAAATTACCTTTTATTTGGCCGCCTATTATTTGTTGCTTTTGTCTTTTTTGGACGTTTTTTTTTGGTCACATTTCCTGTAGCCTTTTTTTTGTAGTTTTTTTACTACATTTTTTTGTTATATTTTCTGGTAGCATTTTTTATCGTGTTTGTTGTGTTTTTTTTTTTTAAATCCCTTTTAAGCACCTTTTTTTCTGTTTAATCCATTTTTTGCGGGGTCTTTGTTAACAGTTTTTTTCTTACCAACAAAATTGAAAAATTAGAAAATCAAAAAACTGAAAAATTGAACAATTAAAAATCCAGACATTGAAAGATCACCATTTTGAAAAATGGAAAACTTCAAAGCCGAAAACGAAAAATGCAAAATTCGAAGGTTGACAAATCGAAAAAAATCAAAAATTAAAATTGCCAACAAAAAATTACAACTCGAAAATTAAAAAGAAATGGGAAAATAGAACAATAAAAAATCGAGGAACTGAAAATCAAGAATGTAATTGAAAAATAAAAAAAAATGACAAGTGGAAAATTTAAAAACAAAAAATTCAGAATTTGAAAAATCGAAAAATTCATAAACGAGAAAGATACAAAAATTGGAAAATCAAAAAAAGAATAAAATGTAAAAAAGAGTCCAACGATCGAATAAATGAAGAAACGAAATTGAGAAGAGAAAAATTCGATAATTCGTAAGTCAAAAAATGTAATAATTCAAGAACCGAAAAAATAAAAAAAAATCAAAAATTCGAAAGATGAAAAATCGAAAATATGCGAATCCAGAAACTGAAAAATCAAGCAATTGAAAAATAGAAATTTTTAGCGTCATTTTTTTGTCGCGTACTTTTTGACCCCTATTTTTTTAATCGCCTTTTTCGTCGTTCTTTCTTCAAATTTTTTGTGGCCTCTTTCAAAAAGTGACATCAGTTTTTTTGTTTCATTTTCTTGGCGCGGTTTTTCTCTCTTTTATATTCAAATTACCTTTGATTTGTCGCGTTTATTTTGTTTTTTTATGCACCTTTTTTTTTTTGTTGAATCTTTTTTTTGGTGCGATTTGTTATATTTTTTTGTCACCTTTTGAATATTTTGTTTGTCACTTTTTTGTGTTTTTTAATCACCCTTCTTTTACCTTTATTTGTACCCTTTATTTATTTTTTTGGTCTCTTTGTTTAATCATTTTTTACCCGTTTTTTCTAACATTTTTGGGGACATTTTACGAATTTTTTTTTGTCAAGTTTTGTAGCTTTTTGATTCCACTTTCTTAAAGTCCCATTTTCTTGTATCCTTTTTAGCCGCGTTCTTTTTGTCCCTTTTTTAAATACTTTTTTGTAGTTTTTTCGTGGTTTCTTGTGTTACATGTTTGTGGCATCTTTTATTCATTTTTTCTTGTCGCCTTTTTTTGTACTTTTTTCGCCTTTTAGTCGTGCTTTTTTGCCCTGTTTTGTCGTTTTTTTGTCACTTTGTGGCCTGTATCGATTTTTTATCACATTTTCTTGGTCGCATTTTCTTATAACGTTTTTAACGCGTTCGTTTTGCCTTTTATTAATTTTTTTTTGGTCTGCTTTTCTTTATGGCATTTTCTTTTGCCTCTTTTTTGTCGCTTTCTTTTTGATCACTTTTTGTCGCCCTTTTTGTCTTTTTGTGTTGTGTTCTTTTGAAAAGTTTTTCGCTAAATCACGCTAAATAAAGAACGATCTTGGTGCAATCAGTTTTTTAAATAATTTAATTCGATTTGGTTGCAGTTTGAAAACCACTTTGTGACATTGTTCGCAACATTGTTGCTCTATAAATTGAGTACTGTCGGAGAAAAATGATCAATTCGATCACGTTTCTGTGCCCACGTACCTTAACCAAGATTAAGTCGAGAAATTGCTTTTCATTTTGTTGTACTTTTCTTTTATTCTTATACATTATATCGGAAACCATTTCATTGCAAAAACGGTCAAAATCAGCTTCCGGCGAAAACGTTTTGCATTAATGTCGAGCCATTTTACGACCTCTGGCGGTTGCTCTAGTATTTAGAACAGAAATAAAACCTTGGCAAAATTGTCGTACATGCGAAGTGTACGTAATTAATATCATTAATAATATGTAATAAATTTTTTTATTTCGTTCGAAACTTACGGTTGTACAACCGACTTAAACGAAACTATGTCCTCCAGGTGCCAAATATACGCTTTAACGAGTACTTACTTAATTTATGTAAATGATAAAACACATTACACAAGTACTAAATCACTGTAATTGTTGTAAAGTCTGAGAAACTCCGCCTTCATTTTTTCCGCTTGTTATAAATCGCTTATTCGTTCCGCATGAATCCGGCACGCTTTTGTTTCCTCTTCTGCTTTTGTTTTTGTTTGGTTTTTTTTTTTGTTAAGCACCGTTTTGTCTGTGTTGCACTTGTTAGCTTCTGATGGGCGTTTGTTCCGTTGTGACGTCACGTCAACTCTATCTAACGGTGCCGTAGCTGCTACAGACGACGCCGCCAGCGACGAGGACTGGGAAGAGAAGGAGGCGAGCAGGACCCACTCCGTCAAGTTCTCCGATCCCCAAGACCAGGACAACAAAGAGGTAAAATATTTGTTACATAGCAAGCCAAACGCGAATGCGGCGCAAAACACACTGAATCGTGTAGGGATTTCTTTGAACGGATTGGCAACACGAGGCCAGTTAATACCGTTTTTAACCAGATTAACCTTTGACTCGTTAATCATCACCATCGTCGCATACACGTGCTCATTTTTTGTTTTTCGTGTGTTTGGTAGACGCCGTTCGTGCGACAGAACACTCCGCACCCGAAGGAGCTCAAGGCCAAAGCACACAAGCTGTTCAGCAAGGGGCAGAATTCGCTCGAGGACAGCGATCTGCAGTCGGAGTCGCTGGTGGAGGCGGTGAATCCGGTGATACAGCGGCCGCAGACCGAGCCGCCGCCGCCGCCGATCCCGGTACAGGTCATTCCGGAAGTGGCGGAGGAGGTGATGGGGAACGGGGCGGAGGAGAATAGCGAGCCGAGCGCGGAAGATGAGACGATAGATGTAAGTAATACTTGAATTTTGTGGGGTTCTCGTAAGTGAGTGCCGTGACGGGGAGGAGGTTTCGGTTTACGGCGGGGGGTGGTTCGAGGAATTATTGGTTGTAGTTGATAATGGGGAAGTCCTTGTGATAAGAGGAGATTACGGTGTTGACGATGGTATTTAGGTCGTAGTACTTAAGTGCTCTGGTTTCGTTTCAAAGCGGGTAGGTACACTACGTAGGTTTCGCAGGACATGAGCTCAACTTCGTGTGGCTGAAGTTATGCTATAGCTATAGACACTGGATTGTTTTTTTTTTATATACACTGCCTTTGCAACGAAATGTGACATTGTTTGAACGTTATATATATATTTTTATTTTATTTTATTTTTCGACTAAATTTAAAAAATAGTTACCAAATTTTCCCAAATTGTAATTCTTCAAAAACAAAAACAGAAAAAATACTCAGGAACCCGAGGTTCTTTCATTTCTTTATTTTTTTTTGAACACAACAAAACTTAAAAAAATTAAAATTGACAACATGAAAAATTGTAAAATAGAAAAATTAAAAATTGAGAAAATGAAAAATGAAGTACTGAAAAATAAAAAAACTAAAAAATTTAAATAAAATCGGAAAATTGGAAATTAAAAAAAACTGAAATATCGAAAAATTGAAAAATCAACAAATTGCAAAATCGAAAAATAAAATTTTGAGGTAAAAAAAAAATCGAAGAATTGTGTAATCCAAAAAATTAATTAGAAAATAAAAAAAATTGAAAAAAGAAAAATTCAGAAGTTGTAAATCCAAAAATTTAAAATTTAAAATCGAGAAAGTGAAAAATTTAATATAAAACATATATCAAAGATAAAAAAAAATTGGGAAATCGAAAAATTGCATATCTAAATGATAATTTGAAGAAACGAAACATTGATAAATAGAAAAATTCGAAAATTCGCAAGTAGAAAAATGTAATACAATCAAGCAATTGAAAAGAAAATATTGAAAATAAAAAAATTGGAAAATACAAAAATTAAAAATCGATAAAATGAAAAATCAAATATAATTCAAAAATTAAAAAATTGGAAACTCGCAAAATTTAAAAACTACAAAATCGAACAGATGCATACCTAAATAATAAATTGAAGAAATGAAACATTGAAAAATAGTCAAACCACTAAAATTACCAGTTTCTCAAAACACCAAAATCCACAAATCCTCAAAATACCAAAATCATCAAAACACCAAAATCCCCAAATACTCAAAACACCAAAATCTCCAAATTGTCAAAACATCAAAACTTTCAAATCCTCTTTAAATCCCCCAATCCTCAAAAAAACATCAAATCTTTCAAATCCTCAAAACTCTAAAATTCCCAACTCTTTAGTCTTCAAATCCTCAAAACATCAAATTCCCTAAATCTTTAAAAAATCAAAACCCTAAAATCCTCAAAATCCCCAAATCTCCAAAACACTAAAATCACCAAATCCTCAAAATTCCCAAATCCCTAAATCCTCAAAACACCAAAATATCCAAATCGTCAAAACATCAAAATCTTCAAATCCTCAAAACTCTTAAATCCCCAAATCTTCGAAACACCAAAATCCCTAAACCCTCAAAATCCCCAAATCGTCAAAATATCAAAATCTCTAAATCCTCAAAACACCATAATCTCAAAATCGTCAGAACATCAAGACTTTCAAATCCTCAAAACTTTAAAGTCAAATCTTCAGTCTTCAAATTCTCAAAACATCAAAACCCCTAAATCCTCAAAAAATCAAAATCCTAAAATACTCAAAACACCAAAATCACCAGACCTTCAAAACACCAAAATCCCAAAATCCTCAAAATCCCCAAATTCTCGAAGTACCAAAATCACAATATCATGAAATGAAATCCTCAAAACTTTGAAGCCCCCAAATCCTCAAAACACCAAAATTCCTAAACGCTCGAAACACCAAAATCTCCAAATCGTCAAAACATCAAAACTTTCAAATCCTCTTTAAATCCCCCAATCCTCAAAAAAACAAAATCCTAAAATCCTCAAAACACTAAAATCCCCAAATCGTCAAAACATCAAATCTCTCAAATCCTCAAAACTCTAAAATTCCCAAATCTTTAGTCTTCAAATTCTCAAAACATCAAATTCCCTAAATCTTTAAAAAATCAAAACCCCAAAATCCTCAAAACACCAAAATATCCAAATCGTCAAAACATCAAAATCTTCAAATCCTCAAAACACCAAAATCCCCAAATTCTCGAAGCACCAAAATCACCAAATCGTCAAAAGATGAAATCCTCAAAACTCTAAAAACCCCAAATCCTTATAACACCAAAATTCCAAAACGCTCGAAACACCAAAATCACCAAATCGTCAAAATATCAAAATCCCCAAATTCTCAAAACACAAAAATCTCGAAATCGTCAAAACATCAAAACTTTCAAATTCTCAAAACTCTAAAATCAAATCCCCAAATCCTCAAAACATCAAAATCTCTAGATCCTCAAAAAACAAAATCCTAAAATCCTCAAAACACCAAAATAGCCAAATCCTCAAAACACCAAAATCCCCAAATCCCCAAAGCACTAAAATCACCAGATCCTCAAAACACCGAAATCACCAGATCCCCAAAATCCCCAAATCCTCAAAACACCAAAATCCCCATATCCTCAAAGGTTTTAAATTCTCAAAGCATCAAAATCCTCAAAAAACGTAAATCCTAAAATCCTCAAAACTCTAAAATCCCCAAATCGCCAAATCATCAAAACATCAAAATCCCCAAATCCTCACCACACCAAAATCTCCAAATCGTCAAAACATCAAAACCCTAAAATCCTCAAAACACCAAAATCCCCAAATCCCCAAAGCACTAAAATCACTAGATCCTCAAAACACCGAAATCACCAGATCCCCAAAATCCCCAAATCCTCAAAACACCAAAATCTACAAATCGTCAAAACCTCAAAACCTTTAAATCCTCAAAACTCTAAAATCCCCAAATTCTCAAAGTTTTTAAATTCTCAAAACATCAAAATTCTCAGAAAACCAAAATCCTCAAAACACTAAAATCCCCAAATCGTCAAAACATCAAATCTTTCAAATCCTCAAAACTCTAAAATTCCCAAATCCTCAGTCTTCAAATCCTCAAAACATCAAATTCCCTAAATTCTTAAAAAATCAAAACCCTAAAATCCTCAAAACACCAAAATCCCCAAATCCCAAAATACTAAAATCACCAGATCCTCAAAACACCGAAATCACCAGATCCTCAAAATCCCCAAATCCTCAAAACTCTAAAATCCCCAAATTCTCAAATTTTTTAAATTCTCAAACCATCAAAATCCTCAAAAAACCAAAATCCCCAAATCGCCAAAACATCAAAATTACCAAATCGTCAATATCAAAACCTTCAAATCCTCAAAACTCTAAAATCCCCAAATTCTCCAAACACCAAAATCCTCAAATCCTCAAAACACCAAAATCCTCAAATTCTCCAAACACCAAAATCTTCATATCCTCAAAACACCATAATCCTCAAACCCTCAAAACATCAAAATCCCTAAATCCTCAAAATACCAAAATCTCCAAATCGTCAAAACATCAAAACCTTGAAATCCTCAAAACTCAAAAATCCCCATATCGTCAAAATTTTTAAATTCTCAAAACATCAAAATCCTCAAAACACCTAAATAATAAAATCCTCAAAACTCTAAAATCTCCATATCCTCAAAGGTTTTAAATTCTCAAAACATCAAATTCCTCAAAAAACCTAAATCCTAAAATCCTCAAAACTCTAAAAATCCCCAAATCCTCAAAGTTTTTAAATTCTTAAAACATCAAAATCCTCAAAAACCAAAATCCTCAAAACACTAAAATCCCCAAATCGTCAATATCAAAACCTTCAAATCCTCAAAACGCTAAAATCCCCAAATTCTCAAAACACCAAAATGCTCAATACACCATAATCCTCAAATCCTCCAAACACTAAAATCTTCATATCCTCAAAACACCATAATCCTCAAACCCTCAAAACATCAAAGTCCCTAAATCCTCAAAACACCAAAATCTCCAAATCGTCAAAACTCTAAAATCCCCATATCCTCAAAGTTTTTAAATTCTCAAAACACCAAAATCCTCAAATCCTCAAAATACCATAATCTCCAAACCCTCCCAATCCCCAAAATCCTCAAATCCTCAAAACACCAAAGTCCTAAAAACTAAAAAATTCAAAAGTTGAAAAATCGAAGAATTGGCAACACAGAAAGTTGCAAATCGAATGCATAATTGTCTTCAATTATGCATTCGATTTGTAACTGTTGAAAAAAAAGAAAAATTAAAAATTGAAAAATCGTAAAATTCAAAAACTTAAAATTTAAAATCGAGAAAAAGAAAAATCAAATGCATATAAAAGACAAAAAATTGTAAAACCGAAAAATTGCATGTTTAAATAATAAATTGAAGAAACGAAATATTGAAAAATGGAAAAACTTAAAAATTCCAAAAATTGAAGAATTTAAAACTAACAAGAAAAATTGCAAACCAAAAAATAAAATGTAGCAATAACGCCCAAAAATCGAATAAATGAAGAAACGAAAAGACACGAAAAATTGGAAAAAGAAAAATTCGAAAGTTGAAAATAGGAAAAATAAAAAAAAGTAAAATTGACAACACAAAAAATTGCTAATCGGGAAACTGAAAAATCAAATATAATTGAAAAATAAAAAAATTGGGAACTCGGAAAATTTAAAAACGATAAACTAGAAAATCGAAAAAATGCGTACCTAAATAATAAATTGAAGAAACGAAACATTGAGAAATAGGAAAACTAAAAAATTCAAAATCTGGAAAATCGAAAAATTCAAGATTATAAAACTGACAACTAGAAAATCGCAAATGGAAAAACGAAAAAGAAAAATTAAAAATTGGAAAATGAAATAAACCAAAATTTAAAATTACAAAATTCAAAAATTAAAAAAAAATGTGAAAATAGAAAAATTAAAAATCGAGGAACTGAAAATTCGAGTAATTGAAAAAAAAAAAAAATGGAAGTTGAAAAATTTTAAAACGAAAACCTGTAAAGTCGCAAAATTGCAAATAGAATAATTGAAGACACAAAAAATTAAAAAAGAAAAATTCAAAAACTGAAAAATTTAAAACTGACTACTAGAAAAATTGCAAACCGAAAAATAAAACGTAGACATGGAAAAATCCAAAAAGCAAAAAAACGGACCATGAAGATTTTTTTTATAAAAAAAATGGACCTGAGATTTTTTTCAATTTCAAGTTTTATTTGAAAACCGTTTTCAAATATTTAATTAAACTAAAAGCAGACACTTAATTAATTTTTTGCGATACCCCACTTATTGGTCAGTTGTAGACCACTAACTACTGCGACAAAATTGTTGCTTTAAAACTACGAACCATCATAAAATAGTGCAACTATGTTTAAATTCAACCGACTTTTGACCCTATTTTTGCTACGAAAACACGTGAACGTCTGCTGCACTAAAACGTGTTCATTGTTCAACAAAACAAGCGTCAACACTGGCGATTATTTCCATTAAGATGCATTTATACACGTTAACAAACATTTTCCAACCGCCTGTTTATCCATTTGCACCCGACGGAAATACGCCGAATTCGAAAACCCGACACACTGAATCGATTTCAAATTACCACCGAAATTAAATTACACGGAAATCAGGTCAGTAAATTGTAGCCTATAGTTTACAAAGTTACTACTCATTGAATCCGAACGAGAAATTTAATTTTCGACGCTGAAATGATTACGAGTCGAACAAACCGCCAGCTAAAACTCCTGCAATATTGATCTTGAAACCAGAGTACTTTTTCCTCGTACGAAAACACATGCACTCATGTATGGCTAATGGAAATAGCAATTCGCTTGCTTCGGGTTGTATTTTTAGATCTGAGAACGGGAATTGGATTGTCGCTGAAAGCTCACCTGTTGAACTTGGGGGGTTTTTCGGAAGCCCGCTCTAAAATAACGCATTGTCTTCGTCCGTCGATATTCAATGCGAAAACTCGGGTCGCCGTTATTGGATTGATTATAAATGTGTAAATGACAGATTTCTATGGTGAGCCGAGTTTTTCGCATTCGGCGTTCTTCTCCTTTTCGGATTCGCGGCACTCACTTGCGCCTAGCTTAACTGTCGGTTTTTTCCCTCTTCCGCGTCATTGCACGGGCTGTTAATATGGTTCGAAATACCATTGATGGTGTGCAGGAATTGGTCCCTAAGCGTGTGGGATTCACCGGTAGTATTCCTGCCGCCGAAGATGTTGATCCAGTAGCACGACCGAGTCGCTTACATCGTCGCGACACGCCGCACCATCTTAAGAACAAACGCATCACAGCAACAGTAGACAAAGATAAGGTCGCTTCCATCATTGCACAGGTCTCTTTATCCTTATTTCTAACGTTTTTGTCGATTTCGTTAGTGGAATGTCGCTTCGAGTGTTGATTTTTTTCGCTTAGATGTGCATGTTGCATTCATGTTTTTTGTTGGCGACGATCTTGGTGAAAATTTTGCGACCGACGAGGGGTTTTTGTTGGGGACGCGATTGCTTGTGGATTGTGTGTTAATGAGGTGGCCGATGACCACGGGTATTGATTTATGAATCAGTGAAAGTTTACGGTATGGATTTAATTAGTTAATTAGGAGGTAATTGGCTGGAAATGCCTCAGTGGAACGGATTTTTTAAGGAAGAAATGGTTTTATTGTACGTTTATCGAGTTGGAGATTTGTGGCTTAATTATATGTGGCTTAAGAAATAATGATAGTATCCGTTTGACCTGACTACTGGGGATTTTTACGATTGTTTACTGTTTTCTACTAAAATGAAAATTAGTTAGTTTCAAACTTTCTTAAATAAATGAAAATGACAACTGTTGAAGCTCAGTGTTTAGAAAACTTAAATTGGTCTAGTATTTTTAAACACATTTAGCCCGAATTCGAGCGTTTTCTGTGTTTTTAGAACGTCAGAAAACGTGGAGGAAAAAACTAGAATTAACATTTTCTGAGGTATAACAGATCTATATAAACTGTAATCCTAAAGCATGGAATTGACTCAAAGAATTTTTTTTCGAATCTGAGATGATTTAGATACTCTTGATTGTGTCTTTTAGGAGTAAAGTTCTTAGAACTCTGTTCCAACGCGCAAAATTGAGAAAATCGAAAAACCGAGTTGCCAAGAAATCGAAAAATCTAAAAATTGAAAAGTCAGAAAAACTAAATCATCAAAAATTTTAAAATTCGAAAAATTGGAAAATCGATGAATCGAAACGTGAAAAAAATTAAAAAATCTACTAAAATACGTATAACATTAGAAAAATTGAAAAAAAAATTCTCAAAGCACCAAAATGCTCAATACACCATAAGCCTCAAATCCTCCAAACACCAAAATCTTCATATCCTCAAAACACCATAATCCTCAAACCCTCAAAACATCAATATCCCTAAATCCTCAAAACACCAAAATTTGCAAATCGTCAAAACACGAAAACCTTGAAATCCTCGAAACTCTAAAATCCCCATATCCTCAAAGTTTTTAAATTCTCAAAACATCAAAATCCTCAAAAAACCTAAATAATAAAATCCTCAAAACTCTAAAATCTCCATATCCTCCAAGATTTTAAATTCTCAAAACATCAAAATCCTCAAAAAACCTAAATCCTAAAATCCTCAAAACTCCAAAATTCCCAAATCATCAAAATATCAAAATCCCCAAATCCTCAGCACACCAAAATTTCCAAATCCTCAAAACTCTAAAATTCCCAAATCCTCTAAACATCAAATTCCCTAAATCCTTAAAAAATCAAAACCCTAAAATCCTCAAAACACCAAAATCGCCAAATCCTCAAAACACCAAAATCCCCAAATCCCCAAAACACTAAAATCACCAGATCCTCAAAACACCGAAATTACCAGATCCTCGAAATTCCCAAATCCTCAAAACACCAAAATCTACAAATCGTCAAAACATCAAAACCTTTAAATCCTCAAAACTCTAAAATCCCCAAATCCTCAAAGTTTTTAAATTCTCAAAACATCAAAATCCTCAAAAAACCTAAATCCTAAAATCCTCAAAACTCTAAAATCCCCAAATCGTCAAAATATCAAAATCCCCAAATCCTCCGCACACCAAAATCTCCAAATCGTCAAAACATCAAAACTTTCAAATCTTCAAAACTCTAAAATTCCCAAATCCTTAAAACATCAAATTCCCTAAATCCTTAAAAAATCAACACCCTAAAATCCTCAAAATACCAAAATCGCCAAATCCTCAAAACACCAAAATCCCCAAAACACTAAAAACACCAGATCCTGAAAACACCGAAATCACCAGATCCTCGAAATTCCCAAATCCTCAAAACATCAAAATCTACAAATCGTCGAAACATCAAAACCTTTAAATCCTCAAAACTCTAAAATCCCCAAATCCTGAAAGTTTTTAAATCCTCAAAACTCTAAAATCCCCAAATCCTCAAAACACCAAAATCTTCATATCCTCAAAACACCATAATCTTCAAACCCTCAAAACCTCAAAATCCCTAAATCCTCAAAACACCAAAATCTCTAAATCGTCAAAACATCAAAACCTTGAAATACTCAACTCTAAAATATCAAAATTCTCAAAAAGCAAAATCCCCAATTCGTCAAAATCAGAACCTTCAAATCCTCAAAAAATCGTAAAATCGGAAGATCAAAAATTTAAAAAATCTAAAAATTGAAAAGTCAAAAAACTAACTAATCAAAAATTTTAAAATTCGAAAAATTGAAAAATACGAATATTGAAAAATTGGAAAATCGAGGAATCGAAACGTGAAAAAAATTAAAAAATCTACTAAAATACGTATAACATTAGAAAAATTGAAAAAAAAAAATCAAGAAGTCGAAAAACCAAGAAATCAAAAACTGAAAAATTCCAAAACTGAAATAACAAAAAAATTGGGAAATCGAAAAACTGAACAATCGAAAAATTGGAAAATCGAAAACTCGAGACGTTGAGGAATTGAAAAATTGAAAAATACAAGAACCGCAAAATCAAGCGATTGAAGAAATTCAAAGCTGAAATGACGGAAAAATTGGGACGCCATACATTGAAAATTCGAAAAACTGGAAAATAGAAAAGTCGAATAATCGAAAAATCGGGAAATCGAAAAACCTTGAAATTGAAAATTCGAAAAATTGGAAAATTCCCATAGTGCAATCACGGAAAATGGGGAAATCGAGACATCAAAAGGTCCAGAAATTGAAATGTTTAAAGTTAAACATTGAAAAATCCATATCTCGTGAAATAATTTAACAATTAAAATATCGAAAAATTGAAGAATCGAAAAGTCGAAAAATCGAAACATCAAAAATGTAAACATTGAAAAATTGAAAAATGTAAAATAAAAAAATGGAAACTTGAAATCTCGAGAAATTGAAGAATTGGCAAATTCAAAAGTCGAAAACTGGAAAATCGAAACGTCATCGAGAAATCGAAAAGTCAAAAAATCGAACAATAATGGAAGCCCAAAATCGAAAATTTAAACATTGAAAGATTCTAAAAATTAAAATAAATTTAAAAAATTGAAAAATCAAGAAATTGAACAATCGAAACATGGAAATTTCGATAAAATGAGAAATTGAAAAATTGGAAAATCTAAAATTTAAAAATTTGAAAAATTGAAAAATCGTGAAATCGAAAAATCTAAAATTTCAAAATAGAAAAATCGAAAAATCGAAAAACTGAAAAATTGAGAAAATGAAAAATTTCAAAACTGAAACGACGAAAAATGGAAAAATCGAAAAACCGAGAAATTGAAAATTCGAAAAATCGGAAAATTCCCATAGCGCAATCACGGAAAATGGGGAAATTGAAACATCAAAAGGTCCAGAAATTGAAATGTTGAAAGTTAAAAATTGAAAAATCCATATCTGGAGAATTCAAAGTCTGAAAAATCAAAAATTTTAAAGTTCCATAAATTGAAAAATAGAAATTTCGAAGAACTGAAAAAACGAGAAATCGTAAAATCTAAAATTGAAATAATTCAAAAATTAAAATATCGAAAAGTCCAAAAATCGAAACATCAAAAAATGTAAACATTGAAAAATCGAAATCCCGAAAAGACGATGAATCGAAAAAACGAAAAATTAAAAATTGAAAAATGTAAAATAAAAAAAAATGGAAACTTGAAATCTCGAGAAATTGAAGAATTGGCAAATTCAAAAGTCGAAAAACCCAGAACTCGAAAACTGGAATAATTGAAAAAGTGAAACATGGAGGAATCGAAATATCAAACGATCGAAAAACTGAAAAATCGAAACGTCATCGAGAAACCGAAAAACCTAAAATTTAAAAATCGGAAAACTGAAAAATGGAGAAATTGAAAAATTTCAAAACTGAAACGACGAAAAATTTGAAAATCACAAAAACCGAGAAACCAAAAATTCTAAACATCGAAAAATTGAAAAACTGAAACCCCGAGAAATCGAAACATCAAAGATAGAGAAATCGACAAGTCGAAAAATCGAAATAGCCCAAAAGCGAAAAGTTGAGTATTCAAAAATGAAGAATTTAAAATACAAAAAATCGAAATATCGAAATCTCGAGGAATAGAAAATTCTAAAATTTAAATAATTTAGAAAATAAAATATCCAAAAATTGAAAAATCGAATAGTCGATAAATGGAAAAACCATGAAATCGAAAAATTGAAAAATCGGAACATCAAAAGATCCAGAAATCTAAATGTTGAGAAGTCGAAAAATGGAAAAATTGCGAAATCGAAATGGCCCAAAATGGCAAAAGCGAAAAGGTAAAAATTGAAAACTGGAAAAAAAAATATTAAAAAATCGACATATCTATATCTCGATAATTTGAAAATCTGAAAAATTAAAAATTTAAAAATTCGAAATATTCAGAAACAGGAATATTGAAGAACTGAAAAATTGAAAAATCGAAACATCAAAAAATTTAATCATTGAAAAATCGAAAACTCAAAAAGACGATAAATGGAAAAACCACGAAATTGAAAAACTGAAAAATCGAGGAATAGAATTTTCCTAACACCGAAATGAATATCGATAAATAGGATCATCAAAAGATAGAGAAATTGAAATGTCGAAAAACCGAAAAATTAAAAAAAAACGAAAGTTAAAAGTTCAAAAATGTAAAATTAAAAAAATGGAGTAATTGAACAATCTAAACATTGAAATCTTGAAAAATTGAAAAATCGAAAAGTTAGAAAACTGAAACATCTAGAAATCGAAATATTAAAAGATCGAAAAAATGAAAAATCGAAAGATCGAAAAATTTAAAAGATCGAAAAATCGAAATATCATCCAGGAATCGAAAAGTCAAAAAATCGAAAAATTAAACATTGAAAAACTGGAAAAATTAAAATAAATT